CATTTATATAAATACTAGTGGCCCGGTGCATGAAATTAGTGCACGGCGGGGGGGGGGGGGGATTCCCTCAGCCCAGCCTGCACCCTCTCCAATCAGGTACCCCTTGGGGGATGTCCGACTGCCAGTTTAGGCTCGATCGCTGTGTCTGACTGCCTCTCACAATCTGGGACCGCTGGCTCCTAACCGCTCACCTGCCTGCCTGATAGCTCCTAACTACCTCTGCCTGCCTGCCTGATCACCCCTAACCTCTCTGCCTGCCTGCCTGATTGCCCCTAACCTCTCTACCTGCCTGCCTGATCGCCCCTAACCTCTCTGCCTGCTTGCCTGATTGCCCCTAACAGCCTCTGCCTGCCTGCCTGATCACTCCTAACTGCCCTCCCCTGCCGACCTGATCTTGCCCCCAATGGCCCTCCCCAATGGCCTGATCTTGCCCCCAACTATCCTACCCAGCAGGCCTGGTTGCCCCCAACTGCCTTCCTCTGCCGGCTTGATCTCACCCCCAAAAGCCCTCCCCTGCCAGCTTGATCTTGCCCCCAACTGCCCTCCAAAGCAGCCATTGGTTCCTCACAATTCACCCAGATTTGGTTCTGATTGGTCGGTTTCTATGCCAGTCAGCGTCTCTGAGCCTATCAACAGGGCCTGATCAGAAAAACGGGGCTGATTCTCAGCCCCCATGAAGGCCTGGAGAGAAATGGAGGCACGGCTGCTGGCCCGGAGAGAAAGAGACAGGCAAGTGCTGATCAACAGCTGCCATACAGGCAATGAATCAGACACTGCTTCTCCCTTCAGGCCTCTCTCTGGGTCTGATTCGCAGCCCCCTCAGCAGTTAGTGCTGGGTCACCGTACCTGCAGCTGCAGCAGTCAGTGCTGGGTCACCACGCCAACCCAGCGCTGACTGCAGGACTGACTTCTGGTTGGTCGAGCCTCTGGTCGTGACGGACCCAGGGTTTTATATATTAGGACCTCCTCCCGTCTCTGGCCGGTCTTCAGGTTTTCCTCCGTGTTGCGTTCTGCGTCTCTCGGTTACAGGTGCTTTCTGCTTCACTGTCGCCACTGTCGTCCTTTCGTTACGGCTTGTGCTCTTTAGTGTCTTATTCCAGGAACTCTTCCTTCTGTGGGAATCATAAAGACGCTCTGTTCCCTGGTCCTAGTTCAGAGTCTTGCTTTGTGCTTCGGTTTGTAATCCCCCTGAATTTGCCTTTTGCAGATGGGAGGCAGCGCTCAGAGGGCCCTCCACGTGGGGGGCTGCTGGCTGTGACTCAGTCATTCTGATGAAGGCGTGGCCTGTGTCTAGGCGCCCGCTCTGCGCCCCGGTTCACTGTCCTTCCCTCACCGTCTCCCTTTGTGGCAGCTGCATTGCCGCTGTGCACTCCCGAGCATCCTCGGTGACCGGTCACGTCCGCTGCTCCGTGAAGGCCTTCCTCCCGCGGTAGCTCCTGGAGTCGCTGCCCCAGTTTGTCCCAGGAATGAGCAGCGTCTGCCATGTGACACACAGTCACTAAGCGTTCTCGAGGGAAGGAAGAAGGTTGGAGACCGAAATCTGAATTAGCGAGTGTTAAATATCGCTAATGTGTTGTTGGGAAGAAAGCATGTTAGTCCTTACCGCTTGTGCTCATTGGTGAAGGAATTGCCTCAGTGGTTGGTGTGGGTGTCAGTGTTCACTGTGTGCAGGCTGAGTGTGAGTCTGATCTGATGGCTAAGTCACACGGCCGGCCCAGCTTGTGCCCCCCTGCCCCCCGCCCCCCCCCCCCCCCCAGCGCTCTGCCTCAGCGTCCCGTCCTGTCCCGGCAGGTCTTGGGGATCCCTCCTCTGTTCCTCTCCAGCGGAGATGAACTTGTGTCGCCATGCAGCTCCCGGGAGTGGAGGAGGAGGCCTCGCAGGCCCGTTTCCGATCCTCAGGGGAAACGTGGAGCCATGGCCTTGCGGACGGTGTGAGCTCTAGGTTTGCGCGCCCTCTTCATCCTGCTGGGCCTCCCTCTGTCCGCTTTGCCGGACACTTGGTGTAGTCGGATGCTTTTTCTGCATCTACTGAGATGACCGCGTGAATGTTCTTTCAACTGTTTAGGTGGTGAACAACATTGATTGATTTTTCAAATGTTGAACCAGCCCCGGCTGGGCTGTGGGATGAACCCCCCTCAGTCGTGCTGGGTCATTGCTGTTGCTGATTTGCGGGCTGACATTTGTTTAGGATAGCTGGTGTCTGTGTTCCTGGGGGACACTGGTCTGTAGTTTTCTCAGAATGTTTTTATCTGGGTTTGCTATTGGGGTACTACTGGCCTCACAGAATGACTTAGAATTTCCTCCTCGTTTGTTTTCTGGTAGAGATGATGCAGAATAAGTATTATTTATCCCTTACGTCTGTGGTAGAATTCACCATTAAAATTATCTGGGCCTGCGGGTTGGGTTTTTTGTTTGTTCGCCTGTTTTTTGGTGGGAAGGTTCTAAACTGCAAAGCCAATTTTTTGTAACAGATGCAGGTTATTCAGATTTTCTCTTTCTTCCTGAGTGAATTTTAGCAGCTTGTGTCTTTCAAGGAATTGGCCCCCTTCATCTAAGCTGTTGAACTTATGGGTATATCATGGCTCAAGGTATTGCTTTACTATCCTTAATGTCCGTGTGACATATAGTAATATCCTCTTTTATTCCTGTAATTGATCATTCTTACCTCTTTTTTTTTCCTTTTTCTTTTTTAAAGATTTTTTATTGATTTTTTTTTTAGAGAGATAGGAAGGGAGAGAGAAACATCAATGATGTGAGAACGATGAGATGAGAGAACGATTGATCGGCTGCCTCCGGCACGCCCCCTACTGGGGATCGAGCTCACAACCTGGCATGTGCCATGACCAGGAATCAGCCGGAAACCCTTTGGTGCACCGGACGATGCCCAACCAACTGAGCCAGACTGGCCAGGCCATTAGCCTTCTTTTAGAGCAGGTCCTGTGAGGCAGATGCTCTTCATTTTATTCATTTAAAAATGCCTTCGATTTACCTGCATTCCCGGAGCATAAAGTTTGTGCAGAGCAAGTTCTGGTTGACAGTCCCTTCTCCCCGCGGGAGCTCGCCCCACGTCTGCTGAGACGCCGTCACGCACAGCGAGGCCCCGCACTGCTGCGCCCTTTGCTCTGGCTGCTTTCAAGATTGTTTTTAATCTCCGATTGTTAGCAGTTTGACTATGATGCTGCTGGGCCCAAGTGTCCTTTAAGGTATTCTGCTTAGGTTTTCAGCCTCTTGAATCTGAAAAATATGTCTTTCACTAAATTTGGGATATTTTGAGCCATTATTTCTTTAAGTATTTTTTTCTGCACAAATGTTTCTCTCCCTCAGGGGCGGAAATGATGCGCTGTTGTTCTTTTGCTAGCCCACAGGCCCCGGAGCGCTGGCCCCTTCCCCCCAGTATTTCTTCTCTCCTTTACGTTGGGTAGCTTCTGTTGATCTCGCTTCAGCTTCACTGGCTCTTTCTTTCATTTCAAAAAAACTTTTTAAAGTTGATTTTAAAGAGAGGGTGGGGGAGAGAAGGAGAGGTTTGTTGTTCTGCTTATTCATGGCTTCATTGGTTGATTCTTGTATGTGCCCTGGCCAGGGATGGAGCTGACAACCTTGGTGCATCAGGACGACGCCATACCACTGAGCCACCTGGCCAGGGAAGCGGCTCTTGTTTTCTGTCGTCTGTTCTGTTAGGAGCTTAGCGTGTAAATATTTGGTATTTTTTAAATATCATGTGATTCGCCCTGACCTGTGTAGCTCAGTTGACTGGAAAGGTCATGGGTTTGATTCCAGTCACATACCCAGGGCCAAGAGCACATACCCGGGTTGTGGGTTTGAACCCAGGTCAGGGTGTGTACAGGAGGCAACTGGTTGATGTTTATCTCTCTCTCTCTCTCTCTCTCTCCCTCCCTCCCCCTCCCTTCTTCCCTCCCTCTCTCTTCTTTCCTCTCTCTCTAAGATCAATAAAAACATATCCCTGGGTGAGGCTAACATTTAAAAGGGTCATGTGATTCTAACGTACAGAAGACTTGAGAGCCCAGCTTTCTCCTCCAGGCTCGGGGTCCTTGCCATCCTCATGGCAAGCCTGCCTTTCCCCACCCAGGGTTGCGGGGCCTTAGTGTGTGTCGTCTGAGGGGTCAGCGGTTCGCATGTGGCACAGGTAACACAACTAGTCAGGGAGTCAGGACCAGCTACTGCGAAGGAGCTCCATGAGCAGACAGCGGCCGAAAGGAGAACGTGACAGACATTCTCGCGGTCAGGACAGTGGCCATGGCTGGAGGCCAGCCAGGCAGTGCCAGGCTGTGCCCTGTCGCTGTCGCCCACATTGTGACAGGCACAGACACATTCGTCACCAGCCAGGGCTGCAAGTGCGAAGGCCGCGTACGGGCCGAGCGCCGAGAGCACCCGCGGGGGCGGGTCAGGGTGGAGAGACCAGACTTTCCATCTTCAAATATGTTAACAAAGGGAAATAAATGGACAAAGTGCACAGCAGCCTATGTTTGCAAATTATGTAGGAGTTTTTACGTCTCTAAGCCCATAAGTCAGGCTGCTGCTGCCAGAATGACTGCACTAATTTTGACGGGGCCACCGGCTGGAGCCACAAAGCCTTGCTCTCACACTCGCTGTGCGCACTCAGTGGGTCCCACCAGAATGGCGTTTCAGTATCAGGCAGTTGAGGTCACATGGTAATGCATAATACACTGGCATAAGTTATTTTGTTAAACATTTTTTAATATATTTTGATTGATTTCAGAGGGGAAGGGAGAGGGAGAGAGAGAGAGAGAGAGAAACATTGATGAGAGAGACACATCAATGTCTTCCTCCTGTGAGCCCGCACCCAGGCATGTGCCCTGACAGGGAGTCGAACCGTGACCTCCTGCTCAACCACTGAGCCACACCGGCCGGGCCTATTTTGTTAATGTTTAATAAAATGTGACACAGTTCAAATACCCTTAAATGTACAGGTTAATTTAATGAAAACATTTCAGCTAAAGCTGTTCTCTTATTATTAACAGAATATCCAAGGCATCTCCAAAAACCCAGTTCAGATTACTAAGCCTCGGAATTATAAAGGTAAGGCGTTCCTTTCCACTTGGCTGGAGTCTCAGTGTCTGCGACGGCTTCTCTGTCGCTGCCCCCAGGTTCTCCTCTGTGTGCGCAGCCAGGACCTCATGTACAGTGAAGAGTAAAGCAGGCTGAAGTGGCAGGGCACCTCCCTTCTGGCAGTTTACAAGTTCAAGTAGATGCTAATTATACAGGAAGCATTGCCCTGCTCCCAGCTCCCCCCACCAGCTCCCAGGAAAGGAAAAGCAGCCAGGAGCTCGCGCGTGTGCAAGTCTGGAAATCTCAGGGGCTGTTTGTAAAGCGGGCGAGCAGCTCCTTCTCCGTGCCTCACTGTCATGACGGTGGCATTTCTAAGACAGAAACGGTCAAAGCTGAACCGCGTCGCTCCTGTCGGGGAACTGCCGCCGGCAGGCGGGGCACAATGCAGCAGCCCTGTGTGTGTGCGCGCGCACGTGCGTGTGTGTGTGTGTGGTGTGTGTGCGTGTGTGTGTGTGCGCGCGCACGTGTGCGTGCATGTGGTATGTGTGCGCGTGTGCGCGCGCGTGTACATGTGTGTGCGTGTGTGTGGTGTGTGTGTGCGCGCGTGTGTGGTGTGTGCGCGTGTGTGGTGTGTGTGCGTGTGTGTGTGTGTGTGTGCGTGCGCGCGCCTTGATCCTCACCCGGGGATATTTTCCCATTGATTTTTAGGGAGAGTGGAAGGGAGAGGGAAAGACAGAGAGAGACATCGATGCGAGAGAAACACATGGATTGGTTGCCTCCTGCAGGCGCCCCCACCAGGGCCCAGACCGGGGAGGAGCCTGCCACCGAGGTACGTGCCCTTGACCGGAATCAAACCCAGGACCCTTTGGTCCGCAGGCCGACGCTCTATCCACTGAGCCAAGCCGGCGAGGGCTCAGATTGCTCTCAATGGGCCACATCTAAGCATCAGTGTTGGCCCTTTTCCTCACTGGGAAGCCCAGACAGGACAGGAAAGTTTAATAGGACATCGATTTGCTTTCAATAATGATAGGATATTTTTAAATTACATTATTAAAAATATTCAAAGTGCAAAATCTAGACTCCTTGGACTGGAGAATGATGGTAAAGTAATGTCTGAGGACGAGCTGCGGACCAGCCCGTGAGCAATTCACCAAGTGCCTTGCACCCCGATCCAGGGAAGGAAGAGGCCACCCTCACCATCTCCCCGAGGACCATGCTCGTCTCCGCCAGGGGCCACACCTTCCTGGCGGCAGGTATGGAGACCAGGTGGAGGCGCTGCGGTCGCTGTAGCTCACCCTGTGCCTTTCACAGTTAAAATGTTTACAAATTGAATAATTCAAAGGTGCTTCTAAAACTCATTCTTTTTATATATTTATCTTTTTATTTCAGAGAGGAAGGGAGAGGGAGAGAGAAATAGAAACACCAATGATGAGAATCATGGATCGGCTGCCTCCTGCACGCCCCGCACTGGGGATGGAGCCCACAGCCGGGCATGTGCCCCGACCGGGAATCCAACCATGACCTCCTGGTTCCTAGGTTGATGCTCAACCACTGAGCCCCGCCACTGGGCTAAAACTCATTCTCTTAAATAAACCCTAAGGCGAATGTTTATATGAAGCAAGGGTTTCTCACGCACAGTAAAAACGTCTGCTTCCGGGGCCCTCACGGCACCATGTCTGGATCTCAAATAGCACTCCAGGTCCCCACCTCGTCTGCCCCCTCCTCCTGTGCTTATCATCCTGGCCATGGGGGCGGCTCCACTGTCCTTCACCCCGGAACCTGCGTCCCCAAGAGCATCTTGCTCCCTCCTCGCTCCCCCGCCCCATCCCCGCCGTCCCCCCTGCCCCCCCCGCCCCCCCCCCCCCGTGCCTGTGCTCAGGTCCCAGTCTGTGAGGTGCACGCTGACCGCCTCTCACAGCAGCCTCTCCCTCCTCACCCACCGCTGCCCTTTCATCTCACCCAGCGCACACCCATCCCCTCCCAGAGCAACATGAAGAAAGAGACAGGTCTGTGTTGCTTGCCAGCGCCCAGCCCGCACACAGTAGGCCCTTTCTGACATTCTCATGTTCAGAATGGGCGGTGGATGAACGCAGCCCACCCGCGGAGGCATTGCCGGCCTCACAGACGCAGAGGTCCTCTTGGATTCGCAGACACAGGGCGGCCAGGGGGAAGGGGTGGTCCCTTGGTGTCGAGGTGGGGGTGAGGCTGGGCTGGGGGCAGCAGCAAGGAGGGACACTGTTGGTGGATTCTGGCTAACGCAGACTTTTTCTCAGACTTTGCGCAGATTGAGTTGCGCATTCTAGCACACTTATCTGGGGACCCAGAGCTTCTGAAGCTATTCCAGGAACCTGAGAGCGACGATGTCTTTTCCACCCTGACTTCACAGTGGTAAGATACGCGAGCTCCCAATAGTATCAGATCTGCAGGAATGCCTGCGTTTTAAAAGCCTGGAGTTATTCTGAGGCTATTTTCATAAGAAAGAAATTATCTTTTTCTCTAGTGGTTAATCTTGAAAAGAAGAGTAGATAACTAGGATGCCAAGAGTTTGCTAATTATGAAAACTGATAACTCTTTGCTGCTAAAAGAGAAGGCGATTGCTAAAGAATGTAATCAAAATGTTGGAAAAATTAAAAACACAAGTCACGGGTTCCCTCTAGATGAGTGGCAGTGCGCAGGCTGCGTTACTGCTGCCCCACCCCCACCTAGGGGGCCAGCACGCTGTCTGCCTGTGGCAGTCCCTGCCCCCCCCCCCCCGTGACTCACACATGGCAGAGGCAGATGGCCTTGGGTGTTGTTGGGCAGCTCAGCAGTGGCACCCACGGCCTGTGCTTTCTGGGTCGATATCCTTGGGATGCTGGCTCTTCCTGGGTGTGGAATGCGGAGATGCAGGCTCCTCCCACATCCGCCCTGGGGCAGGAGGGTAAGAGCCCTGCCCCAGCACCCGCCCACTGCACTTCACTTTCCAGAACAGGCTGTCAGCTGACATAGCTGCAAGAGAGGCTGGGAGGGGAATGCTCCAGAACAGAGTCTCAGCGTCACTTCTCACCACGGCCAGGCACATCACTGCCTGGACAAAGTCAGGTTCTGCACCAGGAAGCAGAGGGCCACGTGGGCTCGGTCCCTCCTAGCAGCTGCAGGCACCCCTCTCCCTCGGCCTTTCCCCGCATCCCGCTCCCTCTGTGGAGCTCTGCACCCCTTCCCACCTTCTCATCCCCCCTCACCTGCAGGATGGCTCCAGACGAAGCTCCAGGAGGCTGTCCTCTGTGCTCTCAAGCCTGCACTTTCTCCTACACTCCCCTCTCTCACCGTCACTGTCTCTTATGGAGGCTGGGAGCCCTCTGAGGCGGGACATGCCCCTCTGTCCAGTGCAGGTGCTGGCCACTCTGCCCGTCACTGCCTCCACCCTCTCCACCACTGGGCTAGCCCGGCCCACGCCCACTCAGGCCTTCCCCACTGAGGGCTTGGGAAGCTCTTTGCCGGAACGTCCGTGTGGCTCAGCCCTCGCCAATTCAGTGGTTTTTAGTGCACTTGCAAGGTGTTGCAGCACCACTGTCTAATTCTAGAACATTCCACCCCCCAAAGACAGCCCAGATCACTAGCCATCACTCCTCATCCCAGTCAGAGCGCACTGGGCTGTGCCCCTGAGAGCAGAGCCCAGGAGGGTGAGGGCAGCACCTGGAGGGACACATCTTGCCGCCTGTGTCACCAGGAAGGGCTGGGCAGCTGGAGTCTGGGACACCCTCGGGCCTGCTGGTGCCCCGTGGGCCTCATCCAGGGGAGGCTGGTGGACACCAGAGCCGTCTGGGGGTCCAGTCCCCAGGACCTGGGCACCGCAGGGGTTAGGCAAACCGGGAGGCACCACGCAGGGACCCATGAGAGAGATGTTGGCGTGGGATCCAAGCACCTCCCGCTCCATTCTGATGGGGCCAGAGGGGAGAGCGAGGCTCGCACTGCGGGGAGTGGCGGTGACCAGGCTGAGTGCGAGGGTGGAGGTGTGAGGGCGGAAGAGCTATGCCAGTGCCTGGAGCTGGCGCGTGGGAGGCCTGGGCACGGGGTGCAGCACCCCCCCACCCCAGCTCCAGGCTGGCAGCTCCCGTTCTCAGCAGCGCCACCCCCAGCTGTCCCATGAAGTTCCAGCTCAGGTCTGCAGGGAGCTCAGCACCAGAGCCCCGTTCCTGCAGGGGGATGCGCTGCCAGGCTCCACAGTTTGAGGGGCGTTGGGAGTTGGGGACACCCACAGAGGAGGGCTCAGACCTTGGGGTGCCTCTGGGCCTCCGCTCACCATTCAGAGTGAGGCGAGATGGCTGGCCTGTGCCCTCCCTTCAGAATAACCCAGCTGCTGGGCTCAGCACCCAGAGCGCCCAAACAGAGAGGCCCCTTTTCCAGGACCACCAGCTGCAGGAGAGAATCCTCTCCTTCGTTTCTTCCTCATCCTCATCGCCCATGGGCTGGGACTTTGCTGAGCCTGGGCGAGTCTGGGAGCCCCATGTCTCGCTCCTGCCTCGGGCTCCTCCTGACATCCCCTCCCAGCCGCCCGCTCCCTGGGCTGCCGCCTGGGCGCTGTGTGAGCTCTCAGAGGCGGGTCGGCCCTGCGCAGCCCTGCCCCTCTCTCTCTCAGGACCCAGCTGGCCCGCCCGCTGGAGGCCCTCCCGCCCTCCTCTCTGGATTTCTTACTTTTCACTCCTCTGCTTCATTGTAGTGGGACCTTGGGAGGGAGCGGAGAGCGGTTAGGACCGCCCGCGTCTTTATGGAGGGCTGTCCACTGCCGAGTGGAGATGGGCTGGCTGTGAGGCGGGAAGACAGAGGGGTCCCTGCGGCCCAGGAGGAGGAGTACCAGGCTCCTCCCAGGGTCTGAGTGCACGTGTGCGGAGGGGAGGCTTGTCAGGGAGAGCAGCAGTCCCGAGGGAGTCAGTAGGAACCGGGCAGTTAACATTCACAGGACGAGCGCAGAGGGGGTCTGGGCAGACCTGCGGATGACAACGAATGGGGACTGTCGCCCTCGTTCCTGCCCTCGCATTGACATAGCCACACGTGTGTGTGCACGTGCCCCGCTCATGCACATGTCTGATTCACTGTCCCCCAGCAGCCCCAGCCTAACGCTCACTGGCCCAACAGGGGGTGAGCATGGGGAGGGGCAGGTGCCATGGGGGCACGTGGGGGAGGAGGGCAGTGAGGGTCCTCCTCTGGCTGGAACTGAGTGGCCCAGAGGCTGAGGAGTGGACAGCCTGACCCATGACCCGAGGCTGTAATCTACCATCAGGCCACTTCCGGGGCCCCAGAGGCAACGGCCAGGCTCCCATGGCCGCGGGCAGCAGCCCCACGGCCCAGCAGCATCCTTGTGGCTGCATCAGATCGCCCTCCAGAGGGTCTGCGGGGATCAGAGGACAGAGCGCCTGGCTCCTGCCTTCCTGGGAGACAGAGCCGCCAGGTCTCGCACGCACCAGGGATCCGATGGTGTGGCCACTGCAGAAGAGGCTGGCGGCCCCAGGGGAGTTAGAGTCCCCACATGACCCAGCCAGTCCCTCCTCGTTCCTGTCCACAGACACCTGCCCGCAGCCCTGGCCGGGGCGTCGTCCCACACACCGCAAGGTTGAGGGTTCAAATCCCCGTCAGGGCACATACCTCGGTTGCAGGTTTGATCCCAGTCAGGGTGTATATGGGAGACATCGATGTCTCTCTCTCTCTCTCTCTCTCTCTCTCTCTCTCTCTCTTTCTCTCTTCCCCTCCCCTCTAAGTCAATAAGCATACCCTTGGGTGAGGATTTTAAAAACTTGACGTGCTCACAGCAGCCTTCCTCACAGCAGTGGGAGGCGCGACAACTTGCGTGTCCGTCAGCACAGCAGGTGAGCGCGTGTGGCCGTCATGCAGAGTGGCTGCTGACACAGGCTTGACATGTACGTGCATTTGCTCTGAGCGAGGGTGTGTTTTGTTTATTCTCGAAACGCAGCCGTTAACAGTGCCAAGTTTAAGGTGAGGTAGACAAGTGGGCAAAACAGTCGAACAGCAGGAAAAGGACAAAAAAGGAAGAACTGCAACGGGGCTTGGAAAGCAGGCGGTAAAATCACCGAGCTCAGGGCCACCATGAAAATGGGAGGCAGGCAGCCCTGGGGCCTCACCCCCCGCCCCCCTCACGGGAACACGAGAAAGTCCTCACAGCTGTCGGGACCAGCTCTGCCTGGGAAACCGGTGAGCTGAGCCCAGAAAGGCACTGAGCCATAGGACAGCGTGCGGTGCTTCCGGCCACCTGCTGGGGTCCAACCCCAGCAGGTCCAGGGGTCCCCAAAGGTGGGGACGGAGTTGGCGAAGAAGGAATGACAGGGAGACAGCGTTCAGTTGATCAGCAGCCTAGCCAGGATCTCTAGCCAGGATCTCCAGCCAAGTTCTGGTCTGGATCTCCAGCCAAGTTCTGTTCAGGATCTCCAGCGAAGTTCTGGTTAGGATCTCCAGCCAGGTTCTGTGTCCATGTTCTCTCGCTAGGTTCTCTGTCCAGGTTCTGTCCAGGTTCTAGTCAGGTTCTGTCTCTAGGTTCTTCAGCCAGGTTCTCTTGCTAGGTTCTGTCTCCAGGTTCTGTGGCCAGTTTCTGTTCAGGATCTTTTGCCATGTTCTGTCTCTAGGTTCTGTGTAGGTTCTGTGTCTAGGTTCTGTGTCTAGGTTCTGTGTCCTGTTGTCTTGTTACCTCTGTATTTATACCAGTTGATTCCAATCCTATCAATCTCTATTCCAAAGGTTAGGGCGTTTCTTATCTCCATTCCAGGGAGTAAAGATTATGTAGCTTAAGCATGATTGTTCGTAGTTAAAGTGATTAATTACCCGCCTGGCACTTAGTTAAGAGGTTTTATTCCCTCCCTAACTTCAGGGGAAAATCCCTACCTGGGGAAACAACCTTTCTCAGAGAGGTGACCTTGGTTAAAACACATAGTGCCAAGAAGGTGAGCAAACATATTAAGAACAGTATGCCATATATGCCAGGTCCCTTGAAACAGCAAGGATGGACCGGCTCCCGGCAGCTGCCCTCCCTCCGGCCCAGCACCCGGCCCTCCGCCCACACGGCCATCCTGGGGACAGAGGCACCAGCCGCTTCCTGGCAGGGAAGCGCGTTTGTGGGTTCTGGGCGGCCTGGGGCCTGTGTGGCCGCCTGACTCAGAACTCACTCACTGAGACCCCTGGCCGCTGCGAGAGAGGTGTGCAGAGTCCCTGGGAGATGAGAGCACCACAGGGCCCGCAGGAAGCGAGGGGAGAGCTGGCAGCTCCCAGCTCCTCCCGCTGGGCTCCTCCTGTAAGAGGAACTGCCTGGCGTCCCCACCTGGTGTGCAGAGGCCGCTCCAGTCCTCGTGTCCAGCCCACAGAGCTGGGGTGCTGAGCTGACCCTCACGCTGTCTGAGGGTTTAGCCCCTCCGTCGGGGGGATAGGCAGCAGCTGCTGGAGGCCTGCAGAGGGACGGGTGCAGCCCTGCCCACTCCCTGGGGATGCCGTTGGTGTATGTGGTTGGTGCTCCCATGTGCCTGGGTCAGGGCTGAGAGGAGCTGCAGGGGAAGAGCCCCCCTCCCCCCACCCCCACCCCCCCACCCCCCACCTCCCCGCATGAAGGCCGCTGCAGGTGAAGAGCCTCTAGAGGAAGAACCGCGCGAGGGGGGGGCGGGGGCGGCTCTTGCAGCCCCAGGGCAGCCAGGGGCGCCAGTGCCTGACAGCGGGCCCTCTTCCCACGCAGGAAGGACATCCCCGCAGATCGTGTGACGCACACAGACAGGGAGCAGACCAAGAGGGTGGTGTACGCCGTGGTGTACGGAGCAGGTAGGCGCGCTCGCTCGTGGCTGTGTTCACACGTGGCCCTGCCTCGAGGAATCCTCTTCAGCCCACGGCTGAGTTAGTGAGTCCCTCTGGTCCTCACACACACTCCAGCCACAGCTCCCTCGGTGCTACGCCAGCCTTTCCGACGAGGGGACAGGCCCGGAAGTGAGGGCACCCAGTCACCCGGCAGGAGGGGGTCTCAGGGCCCACAGCTGTGCTGGGGCCATTTCTGTGCCTTGAGTCGCTCAAGGAGCCCCCTCCCGCTCCTCCCCCTCCCCAGGGCCCAGGGCCCAGCTCCCCTCCCTCTCCCTCCCAGCCTCTCCTTTTGACTCTCTGACCATGGCTATCTGGGCTTCTTAAATTCCTTTCTCCCTCTTGGTCATGGAATCAGTGGAGCCTGATGCCCCTCGGGAGAGGCTGTGGCCAGCCAGTCCCTCTCCAGGGCAGACCCACGTGGCTGCTGGCCAGGCCTATGCGGGCCTCCTCCCTAGGGTCGGTTCTGTTTGCACAGCGGGCTCCGCAGACCCGGGGAGAGCTCCCCTCTGGCCGTAGGAACCTTCGCTCACAAAAGGAAAGGCAGCAAAACCGAACAAGCGGCCAGTGCGAGAATATCGACGCCACGTGGGCCACCGTGGGCCTCCAAAGTGCCTCGCCTAGGCCTCGGGCGACTTGCTGTGACGGGGCGGGAACCCCCTCACAGAGGCTGGCTCCCCACAGGGCTCTGCCATCTGCTGGAACCCCTCGCCCCAGTGTCCACAGAGCTCCCTCACTTCTCAGATCCCCGCCCTTGAGCAGCGTGCCTGACCACTGGTCTCACCACGTCTGTGAGTCAGGAGTCCGGGCACAGCTTGGCTGGGTGTCCCGGGGCCCTGGTCTCAGTGGAGGCTGCACAGGGGGAGCACTTGGCGGCCTCCCTTTCTTGCCGGCTCTCAGCTCTGAGGGGCAGCCTCAGCACCGGCCTGGGCCTCCCAGCCTTGGCAGAGTCTGCACCGTGGGGGCTCCTCCTTGGAGACAGCGAGGGAGGAAGAGATGCCAGTGAGACGGCGCTATGGGTGGCTGAGACTCTGGTAGAAACCTGACCAGCGTGAAGAACCGGAAGGCAAGTTGGAGCAACCAGGGAATCTGGAAAGTGAAGGGGAAACCTCAGAAGAAAGCCAGAGGAACTCCAAGTTCTGAGTGTGAGCTCTGCCCAATCTCTAGCTGACCCTAAGCAGTCAGACCAAACAACCCAGCCACGAAAGGAACGAGCTGAGATTTTAGCTGCAGCTCAATACAGAGGGGACAGTTTAAAGCTTAACTTTAGCCAAATTAACTGCCCCCCTTAAAAAAACAGTATCCCGGAGAAAAACAGAATTCAGAGTGTCTACAACATATCATTCACGATATCCAGGAGACAATCCAAAATTACTAAACACGAAAAAGCAATAACTTGATCCGTATTCAAGAGGAAAGGCAGTCGTGGAATCCGATCCTGAGATGACCCAGATGTTGGAATTAGCAGACAAGGATTTTAAAGCCACTATTATAACTGTGCTCAAGGATGTAAAGGAAAAGATGCTCATAATGAATGAAAATTAGGAAATCGCAGAAATCAAAAGAACCAAATGGAAATTCTAAAACTGAAAACTGAAATCTCAGAAACAAGACATTTGCTGAGTGGGCTTAACAGCAGATAAGACTGAGGAAGGTCTTGGCTGAGGCAGACCCCAGGCCCCACCTGGCCAGACCCGCCTGCACGTCTAGCCACCTTCCCATTCCTGTCGGAAAGCCAGGGGAGGTTCCATTACAGAGCCGCAGCCGAGCGCAGTGGCTGGAACATCATAGAAACAGTTATAGGTGGCTTATTCCAATATAAGGTACCTGTGAACCCTAAAAGGGAACTTGGAGTTTTTTTCATTTCCAGCCAGATGAAGAGTCAGGCGGGCCTGGGAAGAGAGGAAGGACTGAGGGCTCCGAATCTCTCTCTTCGGGGACCAACTTTGTGAAGCACAGGGCACCCCAGCCTTTCCCACTCTTCCTGGCCGACACCTGCCCCTTCACCCTCACGCGATATACACTCTCTTCTTCCAGCACCCCTGCACGCACCAGCCGCCAGGGCCAGTCCCAGGCCCGCGAGGGCTTCCCTGGTCTTCAGGTCTCGCCTCCAGGCTGTGGCTCCTGGACCCTGTTATCTGAGGCCCTTGGGGTACCCCCTAGTGCAGTGATGGCGAACCTATGACATGCGTGTCAGAGGTGACACGCGAACTCATTTTTTGGTTGATTTTTCTTTGTTAAATGGCATTTAAATATATAAAATAAATATCCAAAATGTAAGTCTTTGTTTTACTATGGTTGCAAATATCAAAAAATTTCTATATGTGACCCGGCACCAGAGTTAAGTTAGGGTTTTTCAAAATGCTGACACGCCGAGCTCACAAGGTTCGCCATCACTGCTCTAGTGTGACCCCAGCGTTGGCCCCGTGCAGAGGCAGCAGGCCCACGCCTGGCTCCAGTCATGCTCCCAGGAGTCAGGTCTTCAGCCGCTGGTTGCTCTGGGCTCCCTCACAATGACGTAGCCCCTTGGAGCCGGGTTCGGCCCATCACCCTGTTGTCCAGCGGGGCTCCATACCTGCCCTCACGGCTCCGCATTCTCTAGGCAAAGTCTCCCTCTCTGGGCCTGGCCGGGCTCGCAGTGGTTGGAGCACTGCTCCCATTCGCCAAGGTTGCTGGTTTGGTCTCCGTCAACTAATGGGGAGACCAGTAAGTGGGACAGCAAGTGGACGTCTCTCTCTAATCGACCATCAATAGAAAGAGGAGAGAATGGCTCTACCCTGACACCAAGCAGGGCCATCTGCTGGGAGCGTCCCCTGCCTCTGCTCATGGGTCCCCCTAACAGCCCTCAGGGGTGGGGACTAGTGAAGAAATGGGGCCATTGCAGACCAGGGGCTTCCCCGGACCCACAGAACCTCCCACAGTGAGGAGCTGCTTTGACCCGCTTCCCTGTGGCCACAGCACCTGCCCCCAGCAAGCTGTACTTAAAGTCAGGGTGTCACCCTGGCACTCGGGGTGCTGTCCCACCACAGCCCTTGCTGAGAGAAGCTTCACAAGAAACCCGAATCCCGTAGGAACCAAATGCTGAGCTGGACCAAAGCATGTGTCTCACCATAAAATGCCAGGGAGGGAGCTCCTGGGCCCATGTCCTCCTAGCTTGGCCATGGAGCTCCCTCCTCCCCCTCCTTCTCCCTCCGACTCCTCCCCCTCCCTCCCTTCCCCTTCCCCCTCCCCCTTTCTCCTCCCCCTCCTCCTCCCCCTCCTCCCCCTCTTCTCCCTCTCCCTCCCCCTCCCTCCTCCTCCCTCCTCTTCCTCCTCCTCCTCCTCCTCCCCCTCCTCCCCCTTTTCCCCCTCCCTCCTCCTCCTCTTCTCCCTCTCCCTCCCCCTCCCTCCTCCTCCCTCCTCTTCCTCCTCCTCCTCCTCCTCCCCCTCCTCCCCCTTTTCCCCCTCCCTCCTCCTCCTCTTCTACCTCTTCCTCCCCCTCCCTTCTCCCCCTCCTCCTCCTCCCTCCTCCTCCTCCCCCTCCTCCCCCTCCTCCCCCTCCTCCCCCTCCTCCGTGCCCCGGTAGGACTGCTGTGCTGGATGGGCCCAGAGTGGGGCCTGCACCTGCCTCATCTGCGGCTTCCCCTGCAGCACCTGGAGGCACTCAGCCGGGGCTGCTGAGTAAACGTGTGTTCATCAGGCCCAGTCGGGGGGCCAGCCCTCGCACTCAGCTGGAAGCCAAAGCCAGCACCATCCTGACCAATCAGAAGAGACCAGTGGTGCCCGGCCAGCATGGCTCGGTGGTCAAGCATCAACCTATGAACCGGGAAGTTAGGGCTCGATTCCCAGTCAGGGCACATGCCCTGGTTTCGGGCTCGATCCCCAGTGTGGGGCGTGCAGGAGGCAGCCGGTCCATGATTCTCTCTCATCATTGATGTTTCTCTCTCCCTCCCTCTCCCTTCCTCTCTGAAATCAATAAAAATATATGTACTTTAAAAAAAAAAAAAAAAGAGAGAGAGCCCTAGCCGGCTTTGGCTCAGTGGATAAAGCATCAGCCTGCGGACTGAAGGGTCTCAGGTTCGATTCCGGCCAAGGGCACATACCTGGGTTGCGGGCTCGATCCCCAGTGGGGGTGTACAGGAGGCAGCCGATCAATGGTTCTCTCTCATCACTGATGTTTCTATCTCCTTCTCCCTTTCTCTCTGAAATCAATAAAGAAATATATATTTAAATAAATAAATAAATAAATAAATAATAAATAGAAATAAAAGAGAGACCAGTGGTGCCAACTGGACCTCAACTCACGCGTCTCCTGAGAGCCCTCTCGTTGGCTCATTTGTGCGCGTGACTGACGGGCTCTGCCTCGCGGCTCATGCTTTTGGTCCCTGTATGAGTCGCTGCCGCTGATCCTGGTGTTTCTGCTCGGACAGGGAAGGAGCGGCTTGCTGCCTGCCTTGGAGTTCCTGTTCCAGAAGCCTCCCGGTTTTTGGAAAGTTTCTTGCAGAAGTATCAGAAAATCAAGGACTTTGCCCAAGCAACCATTGCCCGGTGTCACCAGACAGGTGAGCCAGCCGCAGCCAGAGCCATGGGCAGGCCCCTCCCCCCCCCTCACCTGGCCTGCAGCAGCTGGGGGTCCCTTGGCCCTGCTCCCAAGTGGGTGGCTAGACAGACAGGACGGTGGGGACTGGGTGAGTGCCCAGCCCTGCTCTATAAATGGGACCAAAAGGCTCCGCCCGACAGGGGTCCAGGGCCAGGCTCTGCTGAGGCACAAAATGAACCCCTTCAGTTAGACGTGGTGATGGGTGAGGAGAGTGCCATCCTTCAGTGAAGATGGAGAGCGCGCTGTCTTAGGAAAAATGCGTGTGCGGTCATAAACTTCCACCATCATTGGTCCCAGATGTCAGAGAAGGTCAAATAGCGCACATTCAGGGCCACGGGGGGTAAGAGTGGTCTCATATCTGCCTGTGGCGTGGCCACTTGTCCGCCGCTCATTTGGAAGTTGACTGCACCCTAAACGCAGTAGGGTTAGCACAGAAGCAAATGGCAGTGGAAGGGTCTCCCTGGGACACAGGCACGGCCCAGCTGGCGCGTCACGCAGAGGGGAAGAAATACTTTGAAGGAGTATTTTTAAGAAAAACTGTGAACACAAATGGTTTGTATCCAACACAAGACATTTGGGGAAGAGCAGCCGAGTGAATTAGAGAAAGAAGGAAGGAAATGTGAGAGCAGAAATTCTGGACAACCGAGGCGGCGGAGGGGGTGCGGAGCGGGCGCGGAGGAGGCAGCTCGGCTGCACCTGAGTGAGGCTGGCATCAGCCCCGCCTTCCTGCGGCTCCGCGGGTTCCCTCAGCACCCAGGCTCTCCTGCCCTGCCCCCAGGGGCTGCTGGTGGCAGGTCTCTCTGAGCCTGTGCCCAGCCCTCATGCCAGGGCAGCCCCAGCTCAGACTCCTCCCAGCCTGACTGCCTGTCCAGACACTGGCCCGTGAGGGAGCCTTCGTGTGCATCCAGCAGGGCTGGCCAGGCATCCCTGGGCCTGGGGGGTGCGTCCCAGGGAGGCCTGCAGCAACTGGTCCTCATGGAGACCATAGCCCTGACCATCCTGGGTCCAGGAGCCCCACTTGAGAAGAACAGTGCACTGTTAGTTCTGAAATGGGGATGGAACCCGGTGTGGGGAGAGCTATGGGGCCAGGACCCTGAAGACAGAAATGCGATAGGGGCTACTGGGGGTGCGGGGGTGGGACCAGGCTCAACATCAGGGGCGGGCCCTGACTTCACTTAGGGAGCTCACTGCAGCTCTGCAGAGCAGGGAGTGTCGCTGTCCCCTCTCACAGCTGCAGGTGCTGGCTGGAGCGGGAGCCGGAGCCCGCCCTCCCTGGGACATAACTTTCAGCAGGTCCAAATGGGAAGTACATGTGCCCTTTGACCCAGAAATCACACTTCCGGCAGACACTGTAAGGAAATAAAACGATCATTAAATTCCTCCACCCAGGCTTGTCTCGTGCCTGCCCTGTGGGCTGTGCTGGTGGAGGGACACCCGCTCCTGGATCTCGAGAGGCAATGGGACCTGGCCTGACACTGGACCGGCCAGGGCGTGTGAGCGGCTGCACCAGTTTTGGAATCAGCTGAGGGAGGGCGTGCAAACGTGTCACTGGGCAGGCAGCGAGCGACGGCCACCCCTGCTGCACTTGTCCCCACCACAAACCTGCTGGGCGAGCGACAGACCCGGCGGCCTCAGGGTCAACCTCCCAGAGTCGCTCTGGCTCAGGGCTCCCTGGAGGGTCCTGCTGGGAGAGTTCTGCTGGGCCCCTGGCCCGAATCTGAGGAGCTGTGCCCACCAGGGCACCACACTGCCTGTCTGCTTCTGCCCTTACCCTGCCTTCCTTCCTGTGACCAGGCTACGTGGCGTCCATCATGGGCAGGAGGAGGCCACTGCCAAGGATCCACGCGCGGAACCAGCAGCTCCGGGCACAGGCAGAGCGGCAGGCGGTGAACTTCGTGGTGCAAGGTACCAGGAGCCCCCAGCTTGCCTGCTGGGTCCATGTGCTGCCCGGGTTTTTAGCAGCTGTAGGGCCAGTGATACCCACCAGATCACCCACCCACAGCCCCGCACCCACAGCCCCAGCCCCCAGAGCAGGAGGCAGGCTGGGTGACACCACATTGTTTGCCTCCGGTTATGCAAACGCCTTAGTCACCTTCAGCCACAGCGTGTGAATAGCTTGTGTCTCAGCAGGAGGTGAGTGAGAGACGTGATCAGGGGCTGCACACCACGTGCCATGAGCTGTCGCCACCTAGGACTCCAGACTCACAGATGGAGGGCGGAGGCCCCAGGTCCAGAGAAGCCTGGAGGATGGATGGGTGGATTCCAGCCCCTCCCGCTGCCTGCTCCCCTTCTCCCCCAGGGGCTGTTCCACAGCTAGAGGAGGGGCCCAGCAGAGGACAGAGGTCAAGTCCCAGCGCATCCTACAGAGAGCCCAGGAGAGGGGGCAGCAGCTGCTGGGACGGCAGCTAGGATCTGCCTGGGCTCAGTGTAGGGTCTTCCCCAGTCCTGTCTCCCGGCCCGACCCCGGACAGAACCGAGGATGGTGACGCCTCCCCATCCTCAGGTGGCATGATTCCGAGGCAGGTTCTCATGTTTGCAGGAGTGGTCCTGACCCATTTCTCTGTGCACTAGGTGTGTGCATTAGGTGTGTGTACTAGGTGTGTGCACTAGGTGTGTACGTGGGGTGTGCACTAGGTGTGTACGTGGGTGTGCACTAGGTGTGTACGTGGGTGTGCACTAGGTGTGTGCACTAGGTGTGTACATGGGTGTGCACTAGGTGTGTGCACTAGGTGTGTACATGGGGTGTGCACTAGGTGTGTACGTGGGGTGTGCACTAGGTGTGTGCACTAGGTGTGTATGTGGGTGTGCACTAGGTGTGTACATGGGGTGTGCACTAGGTGTGTACGTGGGGTGTGCACTAGGTGTGTTCACTAGGTGTGTACGTGGGTGTGCACTAGGTGTGTACATGGGGTGTGCACTAGGTGTGTGCACTAGGTGTGTACGTGGGTGTGCACTAGGTGTGTACATGGGGTGTGCACTAGGTGTGTACACTACGTGTGTGCACTACATGTGTGCACTACGTGTGTGCACTAGGTATGTACATGGGGTGTGCACTATGTGTGTGCACTAGGTGTGTGCACTAGATGTGTGCATTAGGTGTGTGCAAGGGGTGTTCACTATGTGTGTGCACTAGGTGTGTGCAAGGGGTGTTCACTATGTGTATGCATTAGGTGTGTGCACTAGGTGTGTGCACTAGTTGTGTGCATTAGGTATGTGCATTAAGTGTGTGCACTAGGTGTGTGCAGCGGGTGTTCACTGTGTGTGTGCACTAGGTGTGTGCATTGAGTGTGTGCACTAGGTGTGTGCACTAGGTGTGTGCAAGGGGTGTGTACTAGGTGTTTGCACTAGGAGTGTATATTAGGTGTGTGCAAGGGGTGTTCACTATGTGTGTGCACTAGGTGCGTGCACTGTGTGTGCATTAGGTGTGTGCACTAGGTGTGTGCACTAGGTGTGTGCATTAGGTGTGTGCACTAGGTGCATGCACTGTGTGTGCATTAGGTGTGTGCACTAGGTGTGTGCACTAGGTGTGTGCATTAGGTGTGTGCAAGGGGTGTTCACTATGTGTGCACTAGGTATGTGCACTGTGTGCACTAGGTGTGTGCATTAGGTGTGTGCACTAGGTGCGTGCACTGTGTGTGCATTAGGTGTGTGCACTAGGTGTGTGCATTAGGTGTGTGCACTAGGTGCGTGCACTGTGTGTGCATTAGGTGTGTGCACTAGGTGTGTGCACTAGGTGTGTGCATTAGGTGTGTGCAAGGGGTGTTCACTATGTGTGCACTAGGTATGTGCACTGTGTGCACTAGGTGTGTGCACTGTGTGCACTAGGTGTGTGCATTAGGTGTGTGCACTAGGTGTGTGCAGGGGGTGTTCACTAGGTGTGTGCATTAGGTGTGTGCACTAGTGTGCACTAGGTATGTGCACTGTGTGCACTAGGTGTGTGCAGCGGGTGTTCACTATGTGTGTGCACTATGTGTGTTCACTAGATGCGTGCACTATGTGTGTGCATTAGGTGTGTGCACTAGATGTGTGCAGGGGGTGTTCACTACGTGTGAGCACTAGGTGTGTGCATTAGGTATGAGCATTAGGTGTGTGCACTAGGTGTGTGCACTAGGTGTGTGCAGGGGTGTTCACTAGACACCCACTGTGCACCTGGCACTCAGAGGCCTGTCCCCTGTGCTGGCAGGACCTGGTCAGGCCGGACGCAGTGTTGGCTGAGTGAATGCCCACCTGACCACGTGACTCATCCCCACCCACACCGGGCTGCTCTCTGCCCTGCAGAGCTGAGGTCACCAGCATGAAGCCGCACGAGTGACGGGCATGGGAAGGGTTGAGCCACGCCGCGCAGTCACTGTGAGGTCATTGTGAGCTGGTGTGATGGGCGGGATTCTAGTCCGTGCCCACGTGCATGCCCACGTGCGGCAGGACCTGTGCGCATGCAGGGCGTCACGCCTGTGACTAGGTTGTGCTACGTGGAAAGGGGGTTTGCGGACATGAGGAAGGCCCCTCGTCAGTTGAGTTCATGGGAAGGGGATCGCCCCGTGGGCCTGACCTACTCAGGTGGACCCTTGACAGCAGGACTCGGGGTCAGAGCTGGAGACTGATGGCCGCAGTGCGCGCCCGCTGGCCATAAGAGCAAACTGCTGGGTGCCCCCACCATGAGCAGGGCGGCCTCCGGGGCCAGTGCCCTTGGCCCACAGCCAGCATGGACCCAGGGACTCGGTCACTGGCTGCAGGGACAGGCATTTCCCCAGCACCGAGGTCCCGGGGGAGTGGGTCTCCCCTCGCCCAGCAACCAGATGGGGGCCGGGACGAGTCTCGCACTGGCGTCAGCCTGACGGGCACCCGTGGGGCTCCTGACACACAGGAGCCAGGAGGTGGTGGGCCCCGTGCTGGGCGGCCGCTGGGGCCTGGGCCTGGGCCTCGCGTTGTTGGTGCAACAGGACCTCTGTGCCCGCAGGCTCGGCCGCAGACCTCTGCAAGATGGCCATGATCCACGTCTTCGCAGCAGTGGCCGCGTCCCCCACCCTGACGGCCAGGTCAGTGAGCGAGCGGCGGCCCGCCCCACCCGGCTAGCGCATGGCCCTGCAGTGCCCAGGGCGGGGCGGGGGCACTGCTCTCAGGCTGGCTGGCAAATGCACAACCAGCTCCCGTCGACCCCTGCGTCTGAGTCATCCCCCAAGCCAAGGGCCCCCCCCGAGTCTCCTGTCAGCACCCCGGGAGGGCCCTTCCCCCCCAGCACCCTAGGGCCTTGGCACAGCAGCATGGAGGCCACAGGCCCTTCACCTTGGGGCACCCTGAGGTCCTGAGGTTCACCTGGTGCAGAAATGTGTCTCCCCAGGCCCTGGTGCCCCCTTCTCAGAGCCTCTGAGCTCCTTCAGGCACAGCAGCTGCCCCCGGAGGTGGGTGGACCCAGAGCTCTCAGGACACAGGCTCCAGACTGTCCGCTCCCACCCCCTTCAGTTAGGGTGCTGGTGCCCAGCTCCTGCTGCTGCCCTGCCCCAGGGCCAGCGTCCCACACATCTCACAGGAGGGCCACCGGGGCTACCGGGGCCACAGCTTTGTCTGGTTGGCCTCCACCGCAGTCCTTCCCCCAGTTGCCCCTCCAGAGTGTCCCTGTGGCTGGTTACAGGAGCCCTCGCCCAGCCTCTGCTGGCCCAGGACCACCCTCCCAGCTCCCAGCCCCCGGCCCTGGTGCCTGGCACCTCATCTGAAGTCCCCAGACAAGTGGGCATGTCGGGCCCAGGAGGTCTGGCTCCCTCCTCCGCCGTCCCCAGGGTCACTTTCCAGAGTGGCCTGTCCCTGCCAAAGGGCCCTTCACAGCTGGTCAGCGTGGCCACCGCCGAGGAGGCGGGCGGGTGGGCAGCAGCGGGTTAGTCACCGTCTCCAGGCACGGCTGCCCCTCTGAACCCCCCTCCGCTCAGAAGCACCCGTGTCTTCCAGACGCCCAGTGTCCACCTGGGCCCGAGCCTTTCCTTTGCAAGTTCAGCAACTGGGTAGAGTCTGCGCCAGGCCCAGGCCGGCCGGGCGGGGGGCCCAAGACCCAGTCACCCTGCCGTCTCCGCCCTGCGGTCGGGCTGGTCCCTGGTTCTGCAGGGACTGGGGGCGCAGAGGCCTCCTCTCTGAGCCGCGCCTCACAGCTGCGCCCAGGTCTTCTGAGAGTTTCAGCTTGGCTCCTCGTCCATGTGTCCGGCTCTCTGTCCGCGCACCCGGCTCTGTGTCCACGCGTCCGGCTCTGTGTCCGCGCGTCCGGCTCTGTGTCTGCGCGTCCGGCTCTGTGTCTGCACGTCCGACTCACCGTCCGTGCGCCTGGCTCTCTGTCCGTGCGCCTGGCTCTCTGTCCATGCGTCCAGCTCATTATGCCTGCGTCTGGCTCACTGTACGTGCATCCGGCTCACTGACCGCATGTCTGACTCACTGTCTGTGCATCCGGCTCTCTGTCCATGTGTCCGGCTCTCTGTCCACACGTCTGACTCACTGTCCACGCGTCCGGCTCACTGTCCACGCGTCCGGCTCTCTGTCTACACATCCAGCTCTCCGCGCGTCCGGCTCACTGTCCATGCATCCAGCTCTCCGCGCGTCCGGCTCACTGTCCACGCGTCCGGCTCACTGTCCATGCATCCAGCTCTCCGCGCGTCCGGCTCACTGTCCACGCGTCCGGCTCTCTGTCCACGCATCCAGCTCTCCGCGCGTCCGGCTCACTGTCCACGCATCCAGCTCTCCGCGCGTCCGGCGCTCTGTCCACGCATCCAGCTCTCCGCGCGTCCGGCTCACTGTCCACGCATCCAGCTCTCCGCGCGTCCGGCTCTCTGTCCACGCATCCAGCTCTCCGCGCGTCCGGCTCACTGTCCACGCATCCAGCTCTCCGCGCGTCCGGCTCTCTGTCCACGCATCCAGCTCTCCGCGCGTCCGGCTCACTGTCCACGCATCCAGCTCTCCGCGCGTCCGGCTCACTGTCCACGCATCCAGCTCTCCGCGCGTCCGGCTCACTGTCCACGCATCCAGCTCTCCGCGCGTCCGGCTCACTGTCCACGCATCCAGCTCTCCGCGCGTCCGGCTCACTGTCCACGCATCCAGCTCTCCGCGCGTCCGGCTCTCTGTCCACGCATCCAGCTCTCCGCGCGTCCGGCTCACTGTCCACGCATCCAGCTCTCCGCGCGTCCGGCTCACTGTCCACGCATCCAGCTCTCCGCGCGTCCGGCTCACTGTCCACGCATCCAGCTCTCCGCGCGTCCGGCTCACTGTCCACGCATCCAGCTCTCTGCGTGTCCGGCTCACTGTCCACGCATCCAGCTCTCCGCGTGCCCGGCTCACTGTCCTCTGTGGGGTCGATGGGAGGGGAGGGCAGCCTGGGCGAGCTCACCCCCGGGAGGTGCTTCTATGGGGGAGGTGAGGTCTGGAAGCCTGGCCTGTTTCGGGTTTTGTGGGGCTGGTAAAGGGGCTGGTGTGTGAGGATTTGGGGTCCCTGGGTGACAGAGCTGAGGTGAGCAGACACAGTCTTACCCGGAAGCTGACAGCCAGCTGGGCATCTTCCTGCGGGTAGGGGAAGCTGTCACAGCAAACGCATCGTGTGGTTGAGAAAACCGCAGACGGCGTGGGATTGGCGGCGCTTCATTCTCTGTGTTTTCTGAACATGGCCTGTTCTTCCCAGAGCAGAGGAGGGTCCAGGCTGGGTCTAGGGACTGTGGCTCCGTGTGAGCTGTCTGCCCGAAGCCACAGGCGCCAAGTGTGTGTCTCGTCGCCCCGGGTGCCCCACGGGCTGCAGCGCAGGACAGCCCCCCTCGTGCCACGGCCGGAGCAGGAAGGCAGGGCGCGTCCACCCATCTCTGGCTCAGTGGTCATGTTGGCGACCTGTGGACAGGCCTGTGGGAACGCTTGGCCACGTTCACGCAGCTGGACCTGCCCTGGGCCTCTGGGAAGGAACCAGGCTCCCGCCTGCATCCCGGCCAGTAGCGGCCTCAGTGCCCTGAGTGCGAGGACAGCAGGGCGTGCGGGGTGGAGGATGCTCATCTGCGCGCCCCAGGGCAGCCCTTCCCCTCCCGCGCCTCCAGCCCGCAGCCCAGGGCGCCTGTGGCCTCACTCTCTCAGCTTCCAAAGGGGTCTGGGGTGAGGGGTGCCTCGGGGGTGGGGAGGCGCGGGGGCAGGACCCGGCCTTCCCAGGGGAAAGGGTGAAGGGCGGAGAGTCCGCAGCAGTTCCAGCCGCTCAGGGGTGGACAGGGGCTACGCAGGGGGCCTCGGAGCAGGTGCAGGGCCTGAGCGTGACACACAGAGGGGCTCGGGGCCTCAATGCAGGTGCAGAGCCTGAGCGTGACACACAGAGGGGCTCGGGGCCTCAATGCAGGTGCAGAGCCTGAGTGTGACGCACAGAGGGGCTCGGGGCCTCAATGCAGGTGCAGGGCCTGAGTGTGACGCACAGAGGGGCTCGGGGCCGCGGGGCAGGTGCAGGGCCTGAGGGTGACGCACAGAGGGGCTCGGGGAGAGCCGCGGACAGGCATGGGCGAGCCCCCTCCGCGGTGCTTCCTGTGTCCCAGCTCCCGGCTAGAAGCACGGGAACGTCCCGTCAGCGTGAGAGTGCGTGGAGGGGACTGCCCGTCCCATCACTCCAAGGTTGTCGGGGCGCAGCGTCCCCTGAGGTGAGCGCCACAGCTCTCAGACGAGGGCCTGTCCCCAGGCTCCTGCCCATGGCAGGCAGTGCCGTGGGCTCGGAGCTCCTTAGAAGGCGAGACCCACACTGCCCGCCTGGCTGACTGCAGATAGGGCCCACGCCGAGCCAGAGGCTGCTAAACCCGTCAGGGCCCGGCTCCCCGAGGGGCTCAGGTGCTCTTCGGCAGCTACCTGGACTGCCCGCCCGCTGTGCCCCTCCTCCTGGGAGGCCATCCTGTGACAATGGGGTGACCCAGGCAGCAGGGCCCATGGGTCCTCCCACTCCCCGCTGGGCCACCTCCTCTCCGACACCCTGTGCCACAATGTGCTCCGTACACACGCCCCATTGACGCCCCCTTGCTGGGCAGCCAGCGGTGCCCGACCGCGTGGGGTCCTGACTGACCTGCTGGGGTCCAACTCCAGCAGGTCCAGGGGTCCCCAAAGGTGTGGACGGAGTTGGCGAAGAAGGAATGACACAGAGACAGCGTTCAGTTGATCAGCAGCCTAGCCAGGATCTCTAGCCAAGTTCTGTTCAGGATCTCCAGCGAAGTTCTGGTTAGGATCTCCAGCCAGGTTCTGTGTCCATGTTCTCTTGCTAGGTTCTCCAGCCAGGTTCTCCAGCCAGGTTCTGTAGCCATGTTCCCTCGCTAGGTTCTCCAGCCAGGTTCTGTCCAGGTTCACCAGCCAGGTTCAGTCACCAGGTTCTAGTCAGGTTCTGTTGCCATGTTCTATCCAGGTTCTGTAGCCAGGTTCTGTCTCTAGGTTCTTCAGCCAGGTTCTCCCCCTAGGTTCTGTCTCTAGGTTCTGTGGCCAGTTTCTGTCCAGGATCTTTTGCCATGTTCTCTCCAGTGAAGTTCTTCTGTCTCTAGGTTCTGTGTAGGTTCTGTGTGTAGGTTCTCTGTGTTGTTGTCTTGTTACATCTGTATTTATACCAGTTGATTCCAATCCTATCAATCTCTATTCCAAAGGTTAGGGCGTTTCTTATCTCCATTCCAGGGAGTAAAGATTATGTAGCTTAAGTATGATTGTTTGTAGTTAAAGTGATTAATTACCCGTCTGGCACTTACTTAAGGGGTTTTATTCCCTCCCTAACTTCAGGGGAAATCCCTACCTGGGGAAACAACCTTTCTCAGAGAGGTGACCTTGGTTAAAACACATAGTGCCAAGAAGGTGAGCAAACATATTAAGAGCAGTATGGCATATATGCCAGGTCCCTTGAAAACAGCAAGGATGGACCGGCTCCCGGCACTGACCGTGTGGGGTCCCCTCACAGGCTGATACCCCCGGGCTCTGTGTTTCAGGCTGGTTGCCCAGATCCACGATGAGCTGCTGTTTGAGGTGGAAGATGCGCAGGTGCCCGAGTTTGCAGGTGAGCCCAGAGGAGACAGGAAGGCACGTCCGGGTCGGCCCGGGTCTGCCTGGGGGTGTGCTCAGGTCCCCCTCCCCTGCCTCATGCTATGTGTCACCTGCACCCTGGCCACAGCCCCACCGACACCAGTGCTCCCCGTGGGCTGAGCTCCCCGTGGGCCGTGCCTAGCCACGGGCCCTGGAAAGATGGGGCATTGGCCTCCCAGGCTGGGGGGACGGGGCTGGGGTGCTAAAGGGGCTCACTGCCAGGCACCCACAGGGGTCCTGGGGAGACCCAGGTTCCTCCCTCGCCGGCTGCAGTAGCAGCGGGGTCCCCACTCCAGCCTCGCTGTAGACAGAGGACAGGCCCGTTGCCGGTCCTGGGAATGTCTGTCCAGATCTGTGTGGCACGTCGGACTTGGGGGCGTGGGATGGGTGCTCACTGTTAGAGAGGCAGCTCACTCTGGGACCCCAGAACCAAGCTGGCTGCTCCCCTCTAGGGCCCAGGATGCCCCACGGTGACCCAGGCCCCCCATGGGGCCACCACCGGCGCCCAGAGCTGCCCTGCCTGCTTCACCTGGGCCTGCACCCCCATGGGGCTCCTGCCCCTGCTCCTCCCCCTTCCTTGGCCCCAGAGCCTCGAACGGAGCTGCAGGCCTGGCCCCGGCCTGACCCTGCCCAGCACCTGAGGGCTGAGGAGGCCCAGCTGGGGAACCTGTGGGCGTGGCCCGAGGGGCAGGGGCTCCATCCCCCCTTCTCTCTCTCCTAGCTCTGGTCCAGGGAGCCATGGAGGCCTTGCAGCACGTGAGGGCGCTGGAACTGCAGCTGCAGGTGAGGGGCAGCAGGAACCGGGGGCCACACCCCAGCTGCCAGGGACCCCGCAGGGAGGGCACAGTGCCCGGGGCAGGAGCACCCGGACAGGCCAGGCCCAGCCTGGCCCTGCCGCAGGCCCCAGCCTGGCTGCTCCCACCTGTCCCCTGAGGAGCCATTACCCTGGCGACAAGGTGTGGCCCTCTGCCTGGGAGAGCCACAGGGTGTCTTTGGGGCATTGGGACTGGGTCAGGCACCCAGGGGCCCCCACTTGCCTCAGGTGCACCGGGCCTGCTGAGCCTGGTCCCAGCCCCACCCCTGCTGGTCACCCCTCAGAGGGGCTCCCCCAAGTCAGTGGGAAAAATGGAGGGATAAGGATGGGGTGGGAGTCCCTGAAGCCTGTGCAGTCACCCTGGTGGGCAGAGCCATGCCTGTCCCTGTCCCTCCGAGGGGGCTCCAGCCACCAGGTCCCCAGCAGCCTCTACTCTTCCTCCTCGGGTTGTGGCCACACTGTGTGCCCGGAGGGCCCCTGCATGGCCCATCCGCCCCCAGGCAGTGCTAGATAGTCAGGGAGCACTTCCTGGGCCGGCCAGGGTCAGGGTCCGGGGTGTCCACACTTGCTCCTGCAGCACGTGGGGACGTGGGGCGCTTTCCTTCCATGGAGGCCAGGAGCCCCCAGTAGTCCTGCAGGTGGCAGGGCTGCGGCTGTGGGGGGCCCTCCCCCACCCTAACAAGAGGGGCTCTTGAGCCATGGTCCAGGGATCAAGGCCCCAGGAGGGCTCTCCTGGACCCCTGGAACCTCTCAGGGCCCCAAGGTGGCCAGCACAGGGTGGCACCTGGCCTGGCCCCGCCCCTACAGGCATGCTCCCTGGCACAGGCCCTGGCAGCTCAGGTGGCAGACTTGGCCAACGTGGAGGTGCTATGCCCAGGGTGTGAGTGTGCGTGAGCTGGCCTGCCTGTCCCCGGGAGTGTGCGTTATCATGCGTCCCGTAGCCGTGTGGCTGTGGGTGTGTTGGGGCGTGTCTGCCTTGCACTGTGGCCGTCCCCGGGTGGGGGACTGGGAGGTGATGGCAAGCTGGCCAGACCTGCACTCACCCCTGGCTGCCACCCACAGGTGCCCCTGAAGGTGAGCCTGAGCACTGGCCGCTCCTGGGGACACCTGGTGCCACTGCAGGAGGCCCTGCCTCGGCCACGCCCCCGTCCTGCCACATCTCCACGCAACCGCCTGGCCAGACCGCACCTGCCGTCTTCCCCTGCATTTCATCCGTAGCCCCGGCGACAGCGGGGGCAGAATTGGCTCCCCAGCCCCTGGGTGGCCTCCCCGAGGCCAGGGCTGGTGTCTGTGCTGGCTGGTGGCTGGAGCAGGACATGGCTCGGCCAAGTGCACCCTCTGGGTCCGCACCCGAGTAAACGCCGTCCACAAAGCTGTCCTCGTCCATTGTCGTGACTTCTTCCCGTGGGTGGGAAGTGCCCGGGCCGGGGCTGAGCGCCCCACCTGAGCCGCTGGCCGGCCAGTCCCCACAGGCCACCGGCCAGTGACCAGCCCTGGGAGCAGCTGGCTCCCTCCTGGGCCGTTCTTCTCCGGTGCCAAGGGAAGGGCCCAGCTGTGCACCCCAAAGCCTCGCAGCAGACGGTGACAGGCACCAGCATGCCCTGCACCGTGGGGAAACCGAGGCACCGGAAGGTTACATCACTGTAATGCACACATGGCTGCTTCTGTGGCGGCCCCTGAGAGTGTGTTCCAGGTCCTCCCACCAGCTTCCGGGTCTGGATCTGGGCTCCGACTGGGCCTGTGGCACCTGTCAAGGCGGGGGAGCATGTTGATGCGCCCACTGGGCCCAGGAGCTCCTGTCCCCGGGGGCCTGGCTGCTCCTGCTGACACGCGGCTGGGTTCTGTGCTGCCTTCACAGAGCCCTCGGGATACACGGAGTCCTTGGGAGCCCTGGTCACCAGGTCCCAGGCCCAGCCCCCCTTCTCTCGGCTGAGCCTGGCCCCGCCTGCAGCCCGCAGCCTGCGCCTGGACGTCTTTACTGCGCTGTCACCTCAGAGCACACCCTCTGGGGGCTTCACAGGGGCCATCTGGCCCAAACAAATGAACAGCCTGGGAACTGACCCCACGGCCTGTGCACCCTACGGCCCCAGGCTGAGGGCAGACGCCTCGGGAGGGAGGTGGGGAGCTGTCTGGGGCAGGGCTGGCCGGGTCCCCATCAACAAAGCCAGGGCCCACCCTGAACCTCTCCTCGCTCTTGTCACCACCTGGACCCCCAGCCCCTCCTGTCGGCCCCACTGCCACCCCCAGGCCTACAGGGAGTGCCCCGCAGAGGGTGCCAGACAGGGATAGGGCATCTCAGCCCACAGGCTCCCCCGAGTCTCCAGGAAACCAGCCCTTCCCGCCCGCGCCAGGCTGGGGCCGCCTCAAGAAAGCACGGAGGCCGATTCCATCAGCTCTGGTTTTATTGAAAAACAGCAGCATCGGGGCGCGCAGGTTGAAGGGCCACCCCCACACCCTCCTGCTGCTCACACACCCACAGGAGCGGGGACCCTGCCCCCGGCCCTGCAGCCTGTCCCTCTGGAGCTCAGTTCGCTGCTGCCCTGGGCCCTCCTGGGGGTGGTTTGGCACATCCTGGGGTCTCAGGAGTCACCCAGTCGTGGGCTCACAACAGTAAGCCAGGCACCTGACAGGCTCCGGGCCCACCGGGCCAGACACGGCATCCATGCCAGCCGTGGCCAACAGCCAGGCGAGATGACTCCACGTCGCCAAGTCTGACCTCAGCCATCCTCCCCACACGCCCAGACCCAGGCAGAGCCTCATCTGGGTCATGCCACCTCCATGCCCAGCCGCCCGGCACCCCCGCTGGGAAGGAGCGCCCCATTCGCAGTTCCCGGCCCCACAGGCCCAGCACAGCACCTCCCGGCCTCCCTGCCCAGGCTCCCGCCGTCACCACACGTGCCCGAGTGCACAGGGGCACACACACTCGTGTGCACGTGCCGGCACCCCTTCTCCCAACGGGCTAATTATTGCTGTTTAAAAACCACCCAGCAGCTCTGGCCACACCCACGGGCGTGTCCTGGGCATCCAGGAGCCCACCTCCCAGGCCTGCCCTTCCCAGCCCAGACCTGACCCCAAAGCCTCCTGGGAAGGCCCCAGCACAGAACACAGCACGGGGCCAGAACTGACGCAGAAGTCGCTTCAAACCGACACAGCGATGCCACCCACCTGGCGGGACACGGACAGGAAGGGGCTCCAGCCCCCAGAGGCGGCCGCCCCACAGGCACGCGGATCACCAACGTGCCCGTGGCCAGAGCCAGCCCCGTGGCCCCCACCTCCCTCCAAGGGGCTTCTCGGAGGAAAGACCGCAGAGCCGGAGGGGCCAGCAAGGACCCCTGCCTCAGGCCGCCTGTGGCAGGGCCTCCAGCCCACACCTTCCCGCAGGACAGGCCTCACCCTCCAGGCATCATCCCTGCCCTCCGCCCTCTCCTCCCGGCTGCACTGGGAGGCCAAGCCGGGCACGTGGGGGTGAAACGGGAGAGGCCACATGGCACCTCAGCACCTGCAGACCACCGACCCGGGGGGCCTGCTGGGCAGTGGGAGCTGCCCTGGGGATGGCCACCAGACACATGCCAAGACCCTGGTGGCGCCAGGCCAGGCCCAGGAGCCCTCAGCTGCCCTGGATCCCACTGCCTGGAGCTGCCCAGCTAACGAACATTCCGGAACACGCTGCCTCCTGCTCTCTGCTCCCAAACAGGGGTCCTGGGAGCCCCGAGCCCTGAGCAACCCCTGGCCCGGCTCACTCTTCCGGAGCCTCGGGGCGCCCCGGGGCCTGCAGGGAGAAGGGCCCAGGCTGCCAGGGCCCACGGAGAAGCTAGAGACTCATCACTGAGCAGCCTGGGGAGGACGCTTCAGAGATAGAAGAGGTAAAGTCAGGATTTCTACAAACGTATAAAAGTCACATCTCAGGGCATGTTCTGGAGCAGTTGGCACCCAGGCTGGAGGAAAGCAGCAGCCGGGCAGCCCCTGCAGGGAGGTCCCGCTCTCGCCAGCGGGCGGCTGGGGGGGTCTGTCCCCGTGGACCTCGGGATCTGCCAAGCAACACTGCCCTGGGGAGGGCCTGTCCTGGTGCAGGGCACGCCCAGCTGGGTGGGCACAGATGCCTCTGCCCACAGCGGCTAGGCACCGGGGTTCCCGACACGGCGCCCCGCCACACCCTCCTGGCATCTCTCCCGCTTCCTGGCAGCACCAAAGGGCAATAAAAGTCCTGGTGGCGTCCACCCACTGTGGGCCATCTGACCAGGAAGACAGGGCCCACCCAGGTCCCTCTCGGACAGATGCCAGGAGAGCAGGAGGCGGCCACACCTCTGCCCAGAAGCAGGCCAGCAAGGTGTCCATCCCCAACCAGATGACAGCCCAGGCCCCGCCCTCCCAGCCCTGGGCACCAGCAGCTCCTCCCACCCCAGGGACAGAGGCTGGGAAGGCACAGGATCAAAGAGCTCGCCCTACCCCCCCCCCCACACAGCTACCACCTCGACCACCACGCTGACCCGCGGCCACCACCTGCCCTCCCGTCCACCGGGCCCCATGGCTGCGGAGGCTGCTCCCAGCCAGAACCCAGCCAACAGAAAGGAGAAAGGCACAGCTTTTCCATTTTGCTAAAACGCTTTACGTCTGTCTGTATAATCCAGGTTAACAAAATCTGAGCTGCAAGAAAATAGGGTGCCGATTTCTGTACAGTCTACAAAACTCCCACCCCGAGTGGGGCCGGCCTCCGGGGTATGTACAGGGGAGAGCGGGGTCTGTACAGTGCTCCGCCAACGCCTCACGCCACAGCACACAGGCACCGGGGAAACCGGGCACCCTGCTCGCTCGCTCACTTCCAAAGCCCCTTTAGGAACGTCCCCTCCGCGGCCCACGTGGGTCCCTTCCTCCCAGCCCCCAGCGAAGGGGTCTCGGTGGCGGGTCCAGGCTCGCAGCTGGACGTGCGGCCACTGCCGACCACCTGCTCGTCCCCGCCCGGGGCCACCCTGCCCGACGGCCCCAGCCCCAACCTCAGGAGGCCAAGCAGCGCCAGCGTCCAGGCCCCCAGCCAAGCTGGACGGAGGGCCCACTGGTCCCTCCCAAAGGCAGCGGCACATCCGAGCTGGACAGGGGCCTCAGCCTCCTCACAAACTAGGAAAGCTCTTTGGGGGAAATGCTAATCAGGAGCTCCCTCCTGACTCCAAATTTTGAAGCCCCCCACCCACCCGGACCAAACTGGGCAGGAACTAGCGCCTATTCTAGACCACACAGGGGTGCGTGTGAGGGCGCCAACTACCGTTTGTCCCGAGAATTACAGGCATGCAGAGTGCTATTCTGTCTAAATAACTTATTAAAAAAACAGGTCGGTTCCAGGCGAGGGGAAGCTGTGGGCTGTGGTGGTGGCAGCGGCTGGGCTCATATTCACAGGGCAGGCTGAGGCCAGGTCTAGGGGGGCGAGGGGGGGCTCCCCACCCTGCTCCCCTGCAGGGCTCTGACCCAGGCTGTGCAGCAGGTTGCTATGGGAACCACACCTGGTGGTGACGCCAATCAGCAAAGCCTGGGCAGGGGAGGGGTGGGGACCAAAGGGAAAGGCGATTGGGTGTCAAAGCAAAGCGGAACCAGGTGAAGCGAGGGCTCTTGAGACAGGCCTCCTGCAAGCAGGTGGCTCCGGGGCTGGCTCCAGGCGGGCAGGGACGCTCCCCAGTCTGGGCCCCATGGGCAGGCAGCCGGGCGGGCGGGAGCTGTGGGCATGCGGCATGCTGCAGCCAGCCACGTGCTCAGCATGCACAGAGCGGAGGCCTGAGGGGCAGTGGCCGCTGGCCCAGCAGGCCACGCCTCCTGGGGACCCATGGCTGAGCCAGAGCCGGGCCAGCGGCCAGCGATCTGCTGGGCAAGGGCCTCACTACAGAGGTTCTGTGCTTGGTGGGCAAGGCTGGGCCGGGGCTGACGGCTGTGGGCCAGGAGCCCTGCCACCCAGGGCCGGGCAGCGGCGTGGGCCTGCGGTGGTCCATGCTGTCACTCTTCAGGGCGTGGTCCCAGCAGGATGGGCGGGCAGGGGGCCATGGCTGCAAACGACCCACCCCCCAAAGTGTCATGGACGAGCAAGAGCCCCGCCCCCCCCAAGAACCAGCGAGAGAACCACGTGATGTTGAAGAAGGAAAAACCCAACAGAAACGCCAAGGCGAGCGCCTGCAAGCGGGCCCAGGTGGGGGCGGGCGGGTGCGGGCAGCGGGCGGGCGGCGGGTGGGCAGCGGTCACTCCTCGCGCAGCTGCAGGCGGTAGCGGTGGTAGCGGACCTGGAAGAAGAGGCGCTCGGCCAGCGAGAGGGTCATGCCGGGCAGCACATAGTGGTCACTGCAGCCCATGTGTCTGAAGCCCAGCGACTCGTAGAGCTTGTGGGCAGCCACCTTGACGGCCGTCGTCCCCAGCACCACGGCGGAGTAGTTGTGCACCACGGCGAACTCCAGCACCTTGCGGCCCAGCGCCTTGGCGATGCCCTTGCCGCGGAAGCGCGAGTCCACGGACATGCGCAGCAGCTCCAAGGTGTTGTCCGCCTCGTGGGCCCGCGCCGCCACGATGCCCACCACGTTGCCATCCAGCACGGCCACCCAGAAGCAGGAGCCTGCGGGGGACAGGGCGGTCAGGGCTGGCTCTGCCGTGGGGCACCGCTGCCCGAGAGCTGGGCAGGCCTCAGCCGATCGGCCCCTTCCCTGCCTGGCAGCCAAATGCCTGGACACCATGGCCAGCCAGAGAGAGGCCGTGAGAGCCACAACCCCTCGGCCTCAGGGGACCTCAGGGGCCTGTGGCTGTGCCAACCCTGTGGCCCTCCCTCTCCCGGGTCAGGGGCGGCTGGGCCTGGGAGCCCGTGACCCTGGGAGGCTCAGAGGAAGGTCTGTGGACACTCTCCATTGGGGAGCCGGGATGGCCATGGGCACCCCCTGACCCTGGCCTCTCCTGGGCAGCCAGCCCGGTGACCAGACCAGCTGTCCCCACTCCTGGCCCAGATCCATCACAGCCCCATGCAGGACAGGAAGGCGGGGAGCCCTCAGCAAGGAGGGGGAGAAGATAGAGACAGAGGACGGACTGCAGGGCACAGGCCACTGGGAGAGCTTGTCAGCTCTGACCGAGGCCCAGGGGCTGCAGGAGGCAAAGGGCCGCTGGGGTGGGGGTGCCCGCTCCAGGGCACAGGCCTGCTCAAGGCCACGCCAGCTTCCTCACTGAGTGCTCCCACCCCAACCCCTCCTCGAGCAGCCAAACTCTCCCCCGTCAGCCAACCAGCTCCCCGTCTCCTTTACCCGCCTCTGAGGCCCGACATGGCCGAACTGGGAATGGCTGAGCGACTGCCCACCTGCTGGCCTGCCCGCCCACCCAAAGGTCAGGACAGTGCTGGGAGCCTCGCCTCCCCCAAGCCTCGGTTTCCCCACCAATCCAGCACGGCCCCGTGGGGTCTTCTGCAGACCCCGCCCATGTCTCAGGGGGCCACTCAGGGACACTGCAGCCCAGAGAGCGCAGACCCGAGTGCCAGTCCTCATGCCACAGCCGGCCCCCAGCCGGACCGGACCTCCCCCAGCTCCTGCGGCCTCGCCCATCGGGCCCGGCTGGCATAGGCAGAGCCAGGCAGCAGCTGGGCTCCTCGGGGCTGAGATGTTTTGTCTGCACCTGGGAAAGGGTCAAGGGGAACCAAAGGTGCCAAGGCTGCTGCCGGGCTGCGGTGGGCACAGAGCTGGCAGTGCCGGGAAGGCCACCCTGGCTCTGGGACACTTCCTCTCTGGCCCCCCACTGTCCTTCCCTGACATCAGGCTCTTGCTAGACCCCCCCAACTATCCGGGCACATCTGTCCCCTCTCCCCAGACCTGAGCCCTCAGCACCGGGGGGAGGGGGGGAGCCTCTCACCCCCGAGGGCCAAGATGACAGACGGCCCTTGGCTCTGGGCATGGAGACCAGGGCCCTGCCTCCCACCCCCAGGACCCAGCCCCGGGCCAGCCTGGAGGACAGAGTGGCCCAGGGCCCTCGAGTCAGGCCCCTCCCTCTCCAGGAGCCTTGCCAGGGGCCAGGGCGAGACCCTGGCTCACTAAGTGCCCAGAGACCAGAAGCAAACAGTAAGGCCCTTGCTCCCAGGGTCCCCGCCGCCCAGTCCCCTCCCCCGCGGGGCCCTCTCTGCCTGCCACTGCCCCCCCCCACCCCCCGCCCCCAGCCCTGGCGCCCAGGCCAGCCCAGGGCCCAGCAGGCACCACGAGCACCTCGGCCAGATAGGACCTGGGAGGGGGGAGACCCCACCCTCGGCACCAGGGACGTGGCACCTGCCGCGTGGAGAGCAGGGCCCGCCAGGCCCCCAGCACCCGGCCTCAGAGGACTGAGGAGGCCCAGGGCGAGCGGCCCGTGGACACTCAGACCTCGGACCAGAGGCCGAGCTCTGGCCCAGGCCCTGCTCCCCAATCCCGGCCAGGCCCTCAGTCACCCAGGAGCCTAGTGGCGGGGCCCCCAGCTTGGCCTGGGGCTGCCGAGGTGGGAGAGGCCAGGAGGGGCAGAGAGGAAGAGGAGCCGGCTGGGCTCACCGGGAGGCTTCATGTAGTACTGCTCGATGTCCGCCATGTCCGTGTGCAGGGCGCAGTCCAGGTAGGCGAGGACCACCTTCCGGCTGTAGTAGTAGCGCAGCGCCAGCAGCCCCGCCGGCACCAGGCAGGTCAGCAGCAGCGAGCCCGTGAGGGCCCAGCAGAGCACTGCGGGGAGAGGGGGCACGGTGAGGGCGGGAGGGGAGGACGGGAGGGGAGGACGGTGAGGAGAGGGGAGTATGGTGAGGGGGGGGGCACGGTGAGGACATGGAGGGACAAGATGGTGAGGACGGGAGGGGAGGACGGTGAGGGGGCATGGTGAGGAGAGGGGAGTATGGTGAGGGGGGGGGCACGGTGAGGACATGGAGGGACAAGATGGTGAGGATGGGAGGGGAGGACAGTGAGGGGGGAGGGAGATGGGCAGGAAGCAGCCACCACTGCACCTCCGAGCCGGGGACCGGGACCAGCCCGTAAGCCCGGAGGAGAGATGAGGCCAAAGGCGCCAGGACTATCCTCCCGGGGGAGCCTGGCCTCCTGCCCCTTCCCGTCCCCTGTGCACCGTCCCCCGAGGACGCGGGGCCCTTTCACCTGAGGTCGCAGGGGTCTCCTCCGAGGACCCCCCTCGGGCAGCGGCCTCCCCCTCCAGCCCCCCCTCGGGAAGCGGCACCTTCAGGACCAGCCCCGGGCGCCGGGGGTGAGGGCAGGAGCGGCCGCAGGCAGGTGGCTGCGGGGAGAGCGGCCTCCGCCCGCATGACCTTGGGGGCGTCGCACCCGCCCGCGCCTCAAGCTGCTCATCTGGAAAATGGGGAGCAGAGGCCTCAACGCCCCTGCGGGGCTGCGCACCCCAAGGCCCGTGTCCCCGCTGTGTCCTCGGCGCACCCCTCCCGCACCCGCACCCGCACCCGCAGGCGGGCCGCCGCCCCCATAAATTAGCACCCGGAGCCGCGAGGCAGCCGCCCCCGCCCGCGGGTTAAATATAGTCACACGCGGAGGGCGCCGGCCTCGGCCCCGCGCCCCCACCCGCGGACTCGGCCGGCGGGGACCCCGCTCTCCCGCCCGCCGCCCCCCGCCCGCGCCGGTTCCCACGCCCCCGCCCCGGACGCCTGGGTCGGGAGCCGGGCCAGCCCCGCAGCGGGAGGCCCCGGCCCGCAGACGCAGAGCGCGGGGCGCGCGGGGGCGCGGGCGGGGGCCGCGGGGCCGCTCCCTCCGAGCCGAGTCCCGGCCACCGAGCGGGCACCGGGCGGGGGGCGGCGTGTCCCGGGCGGACGGCGGGCCCGCACTGACCGGCCAGCAGGGCGCAGAGCAGCTGCGCGCGCGGGTGCTGCCGCAGGCCGCGGAAGGCCGTGTTGGGGATGCGCTCCATGATGCCGTCGTAGAAGATGCGGCACGCCGCCTCCTGCTCGGCCGCGCGGAACTCGCGGATGTGCACGCCGCGCCCCTCCGGGGGCCCCGCGCCCCCCGCGCCGCCCGGGGGCTGCGGCTGCGGCTCCGGCTGCGGTTCCGGCGGGGGCGCGGCGGGCAGCGGGGGCCACATGGCGGCGGCGAGCAGCGCGTCCTTCTTGGCCCCCGGCAGCGCCTCATGGTCCTCGGCGGCCACGATCTTCGTCTCGCAGACCATGTCGGGCTCACAATGCATGCACCCGGCGGGCGGCGCGGGGCGCGGGGCGCGGGCGGGGCGGGCGGGCCGGGCCCAGGGCAAGGGCGCGGCGCCCTCGGACCCGCGGCGGCGGCGGCGGCGGCGGCGGCGGCGGCTCAGGGGCGCGGGGCGGAGGCGGCGGGCGGCCGGGGCGCGCGCGGGGAGCTGCGCCGCATCTTGGAGGAGGATTTATAATGCGGCGGCGCCGGGGCGGCCGCGGCGCCCGGGGTCCCGCAGGGTCCTAGCGTCCACTGCATTGGCTGCGGGGTCACCATGTGACCGCGGGGGCGGGGGCCGACGCCGCCTCCGCGCCCGCCCGGTGGCACATTTGCGCGCCGCGCGGCGGCCGGGCTCCGGCGGCTGCGGGAGGGAGGGCGCCCGGGTGGGGGCGGCCGCCTTGCCGAGTGCCGGGGACCTGCGAGCGCGGCCGGGGTGCTGGCCGGAGGGGGCGCTCCGGGGGCCCCGCACCCCCGCTGTGCGGTCGGGGAAGCCGCGGATCGGATCGGGATCGGGCCTTGGGCCCCGCAGCGCCGCGTCCTCTTCCTCCGCAGCCGCCGGTCGCGGTCACGAAGGCACCTCCGTCTCCCGCCCCGTGGTCGGGGCGCGGCACCCCAGCCCCCCCGCCTGGCGCCCCTGGGAACGTGCGCCCGGAGCTGCGCGGGCTGGAGGCGAGAGGGTGCGACCGGAGCGGGTCTGACGTCCGCGCCGCGCAGCGCGCCACCCGCCTTTAGACACCGGACCCCGGGGCGGGGGCGGGGAGGAGGGGGTGCGGCCGCAGGACCCCTCCCGGCTGGCCCCTGCCTTCCGTGGCCCGCGCATGCGCCCTGCACTCTCGGTGCAGGTGCAGGGGGGCCTCCGGCGGATCCTCCTGCCCCCGAGAGCCCGACCGAACGGCGCTGCGGGTCAGGGGGAGGCCGGAGGCGGGGCGGTCGCCCCAGAACCCTTGGCACTTCAGGAGCCCCGCCCGCCGCTCCGCACCCCTCTCCTCATCGCCCGCACCCCCCCCCCAGGTGACCCCACCAGCGGCCGGAGCTGAGTTCCCGGGGCCGCGCTGGTGGCTAGTGGCCCCTCGGCCCACAGAGCCCAGCCAGGCGCCTGCGGTCACCCGGGGCCTGGGCGGGGCTGTCCTTGCCTGCACCCCGCTAAGGGACGCGGGGAGGGGCGGCCGGACCAAGGCGCTGAACTAGTCCTCGGCCAGGGCTGCGGAGGGGGGGGAAGGGGGGGCACCCCCACACCATGCTCCCAGGTGCCAGGATTGCCAGGTGCCCGGTGATCTGAAGTGGGTTCAGGAGCAGCTCAGGGCCCTGCTGCTTGTGTAGCCGGTGGGACAGGCCCACAGTGAGACCAGCCCCCAGGGGCCAGAGGAATGCCAACAGCAGGCAAGGGGTCCAGGCAGGAAAACCCTGGGGTTGGGGAGCCGCACTGGGTGCCTAGAGGGTCAGGGGAATTCAGAGGAAGGGGAGCGGGGCTTGGCGCCGAGTCAGGGGCTTGGGGAGCACTGTCCTGGCCAGGAAAGGGGGGGACAGTGGAGCCTGGGCTTCCGCTTGGCGGGGCCTCGGGGTCTTCAGTTCTGCACCTGCGGACGCCCTGTCCCCCACGGCCCCGGCTCAGCCCCTTGGTCCAGAGGGGCCGAGAGCCAGGACGAGCCGGCGGGCTGGCCAGCCACCTGGAAGGGCCGGGAGGCCTCAGCCCGGGTTTAACGCGCTGGGAGTGAGTGGGGGTGACTTGAAGGGGAGGACGGTGCAGAAGGCAGAGGGGGGGGAAGCAGGGGGAGCCTCAAAGACACGGGGGTTCCCCGTCCGTCCCAGGGAGGCTGTGCCCTCAGCCCACATCAGGAGCCCGTTGAACAGACGAAGAACTCGAGGCTGGGCAAGTCAGGGCAGTCTGTCCTCCCAGCGCTGTCGCTCGGAACCCCAGGTCCGTGAATCCTCTACCCTCCCTGGGCCTCAGGCCAGACCAGGACCCCCTGGTGCCCCCTCACCCAACACCAGAGCCCCCCTCCCCAGATCCCCACCGTGGGCTGCTCCAGAGGCAGGCCTGGGCCTCGGAGCACCTGGCACCTGACGGGAGGTAGCTCCTGGGGACACAGGTGGGGCCTGGGGATTGGGCCCGGGCAGGGGGGGCGTTGGAGGAAGTGAATCAAAGGCGGGGGATGGGAAGGACAACAGGACCAGGCAGAGGGGAGGAGGGAGCAAGGGTGAGACCTGGTGAGGGGACCCCAGCCACAGGCCCGGGGCTCGGGGACAGGGCTCTGCCAGCACCTGCTCTGCCCAGCTTGTTGGAGGCCTGTTAGCCAGGAGCAGAGCGAGGAGGACGGCCCCCAGGTCACCAGGGGGAGCCCCGCGGCCTGGCCACAGACAACTGCAGGGTGGGGCCGCCCCCGCAGATCCTGGACCCCCTGACCTTTCCTCCCCGAGACGCCCTCTAGGCCTCAAGTTGTAGTTCAGCTCCAGGCCCAGAGAAGCGACAAAACCAGCCGACAGCTCAGCTGACAGCAGGACCAGCTGCAGGAATAGGACCCCTGCCCTGGTGCCGCCAATCAGGGGAGGACACACCTGCAAGGACACTGGCCGTCCCGTCAGATCTTCCCGGGGCCTCCCTGCAACCTCCACCTTAAGCCCTAGGACGGAGGACCCAGTGCGCTCCCCTCCCCAGAGCACCCCTGCCTTTCCCTCCCCCCCTCCCCTCCCCCGGGCTGTACCGTCACCTTCCTCACTCCCAAGCTCCAAGCGCCCTTCCTTTGCCGCCATAACCCGTTCCCTAAGCCGTTTTTTCTAGGAATTCCCTTTTCTCCCTCTGCCATTTACCCAACAAATGTCCTCTTACAGTTTAGCTCTTGGGTCCGAATTCTTTCCCAGCCAGAACCCAAGTGCCGAGGTTGCTGACCCCGGTTTGGTCTGACCCCAGGGGTCATACCTGGTGCCGTCCCCCCCCCACCCCCCCCACCCCCCGCCTCGAATGGACTGGAGTGCTGGGCCTTTGCCCACCTCCCCCTCCCACTCCCCCAGCCAGCTGGGCCCAGCGGGGACACAGGATGGCGCCCCGATGGAGAATATGAGGATGGGATAAGGGCACAGAAAGTGGGGGCAACAGGCACACCGAGCCCAGGAGAGCGAGCACTGCCCCAGGGACGCCACTCCCAGCTCTGCCCGGAGCTGAGGGACAGCCCAGGAGATCCCGGCTCAGGGCAGACCCGGGCGCCCTGGCCTTGGCCACATGGCGGGCCAAGCTCCTTGCTGACGCTGCACTTCTCCTACAACACCTCCACCCCACCCCCATCAGGGCTGGTGGTGACCCGTGGCCCAGTGTGGGCCCTGCCAGGCCTCGCCCCGCCTCCTGGCTGCCTGGCTCTCTGGGGTCCCTTCTCCTCTGTCCACTCAGGGCTCTCGGCCAGTGCCGTCCACCCGTCTCCCTCCTGCCCCTTCCCAGCTCAGCCGCATACCCATCCCCCTCCCCTCCTCCTCCCAAACCCACCGCGTGGCCAAGCCCCATGGCTCCTTTTTTAAAAAATATGTTTTTATTGATTTTAGAGAGAAAGGAGGGGGGAGGGGAGAGATAGAAACATCAGTGATGAGAACCATGGACCAGCTGCCTCCTGCACACCCCACACTGGGGATGGAGCCCGCAACCCGGGCCTGTGCCCTGACCGGAATCGAACTGTGACCTCCGGGTTCATAAGTCAACGCTCAACCCCTGAGGCCAGCCGGGCCGATGACTCCGTTCCAGCGCAACTGCTTCTCCTGCGAACACCCAGGGCGGCCTGCTCTTCGGCATCACCTCGCGGCGAGTCCATCCTGGCCACCCCAGGTCCATCCTCCCCCTGAGTCCTGTTCAGATGTCCCATCACAGGGCGCCCCTGCCGGCTCCAACCCCCCAAGGCTCCCCCCACCCCCTCCTGCCCTGCAGCTGTGGCGGAACAGACCGCCCAGCAGCCTCCTGGGGCCACTGCTGCTCCCCACGCCTGACTGCAGCCCCTACCGCCTCCCAAAGGCCACCTGCCGGCTCCGTGACTCACTCCCATCTCCCGTCGACAGCAGCCCCATCACGCGCGAGGGCTCGTGGCTGCACCAGCACAGGATGCCCAGCTCAATTCAACTGTCGGATAAAAACAGTTTTGTAAGGGACACCCTCCTGCTAAACGCACTGTCCTAGAAGCACTGGGTCCTGGCTGGCCTTTGCCAAACCTGCCGCCGAGCCCAGATCACAGGCCGCGTCCCTCGCCCCTGCCCAGGAACGGCCCGTGATGACGCCAGCCAGTCGGACGTGAGCACCTGCACCCTGCCCCTCGGCTCCTCTCAGGGGCCCAAGACAGTGGCACCCGGTCCCTACACCACCCCACTCGTGCCCAGGCCTGAGGGCCGGCCGCGCAGGGTCACCCCCATCAGCACCCTACTGTGCACCCGGGTGTCCTAAAGCATCGCTTTCATAATAAAAACTTTAAAATAAAGGGGGCGGGGTCACTGGCTGCCCCTGGAGACCTCCTGCCTGGCACTAAGTACACGTGTGGGGGCATGGTGCCCGCCTCAGGCCCTGGTGCCCGGGGGAGGCTGTGGGGAAGGTCCCAGGGCTCCTTGGCCACAGGCTCTGCCACGCAGGGGCCACGGTCTGGGCCTCCAGGAAGCCTCGGGCGGGGGACGCTGTGAGGGGCAGCTGCTCCCAGGGCCACGCCCGCTCCTGCGCTCCCAGGAACACAAGGGCAGGCGGGCAGGCGGGCAGGAAGCAGGAGCCGGAGGCGGACTTGCTGAGCGGGTGCAGGTCCACCCCAGTGGCCGGACTGCGTGTCCCTGCTCAGCGCTGGCACTGTCGTGGGGCAGTGCCCAGGGGGCCTCAACCCACGTGGACAGCTGGGAAACCGAAGCCCAGAGAGGGGCCCACGCAGGGCGGCTGGGGACGCGCGGGCGGGCTCGGGGCCAGAGCAGGGAGACAGCACACAGCAAGCACAGGGCAGCTGGGTTGGGTGTTTATTGACGAGGGCAGACTGGCGGTCCTAGCGCCCCGCGGGCCAGCAGGCACACAGGGCCCGGCGCTCCGCCTGCAGCAGGAGGGTCTCTGTCTGCAAAGGAACAGGGACCATCAGGGTGAGAGTCACCCGCCCCCAGCCCAGGGGTGCTCCACCTCCTGGCTTCTTCCAAGCCCAGTGACCGTTCCTCTGGGGGGGGGGGCTGACGGTCTGCACCCCACTTCCTGCAGGGACCCTCTGCTGCTGCCCCACTCCCTCGAGTCCCTCCCGCCCCTCCTCGCTCCCCCTGCACCGTCTGCCTGGGGGCTCTTCACACCCACACCCCTCCAGGGAGGGAGAGAGAAACATCGATGGTGAGAGAATCCCTGATGGGCTGCCTGCTGTGCCCCACGGGGGTGGGGGGGTGGGGGGGGTGCTGCCTGAACCCCAGCATATCCTGACCTCGCGGTTCATAGGTCGACCCTCAACCCCTGAGCCACACTGGCTGGCTGGGACGGAGGGCACTTCTTCCTGCTTCTCCAACTCTTCCAGCCCCTGCCGGGCCCTCCCCATCCTCTAAAGGCCCCTCAGGCCCCTCACCTGGGGGCTGGGCCTCCCCTCCTTCCTGCTTCTGGGAACCCCTCTGCCCCAGGACGGGTGGGTCCGTCACACGGGCTCTCTGGGGCGGGAAGGCTGGGGGCTCCCTGCTCATTCCACACTTGGGGGTCGCCCTGCCTCCTGGACCCAGGCAGCCTGTGCACCACCCTCCCTCCCAGGCCACCCACCCTCCCGGCACTCCGCCCCCAAGGGGCCCCTCCACACACACACACACACACACACACACACACACACACACACCCCGCCGCAGTCTCCTCTCCACCGCCAGGGGAAGGCTGGGCTGGGAGGGGTGGGGAGGGGTGGGGTGGGGTGGGGTGGGGGTGCTGGACCGGTGCGCCCCGGTGGCTGGAGCTGAACGGGGACCCTCACCCGCGCGTCTAGGCTGTAGGCCGTCTTCCGCAGGTCCTGCAGGGCGCGCTGCATGAACTCGAACGCGTGGCAGTCCACGCACGGGCGGCCTGCGGGGCGCGGGTGAGCTGGGGGCCCTGCTCCATCCCCGCGGCCTCCCACCCCCACCCCCTACCCCCCACCCCCACCGAGGGGCGGCCAGGGAGGCGGGGCGCGGGGACGCCGGGAACAAAGAGAGGCGGCCTCCCGCACGCAGGACCGGGACAGGGATGGGGACAGGGACCCGGGCGGGGACGGGGACCGGGGCGGGGACCGGGACCGGGGCGGGGACGGGGACTGGGACGGGGACCGGGACGGGGACGGGGACCGGGGCGGGGACGGGGACCGGGGCGGGGACCGGGACTGGGGCGGGGACCGGGACGGGGACGGGGACCGGGGCGGGGACGGGGACTGGGACGGGGACCGGGACGGGGACGGGGACCGGGGCGGGGACGGGGACTGGGACCAGGACGGGGACGGGGACCGGGGCGGGTCGGGGACCGGGGCGGGGACGGGGACCGGGACAGGGACCGGGACGGGGACGGGGGCGGGGACCGGGACCGGGACAGGGACCGGGGCGGGGACGGGGACTGGGACGGGGACCGGGACCGGGGCGGGGACCGGGACGGGGACGGGGACCGGGGCGGGGGCGGGGACCGGGGCGGGGACCGGGGCGGGTCGGGGACCGGGGCGGGCCCGCGGCACGTACTCTGCGCGGGGACGGCGCTCCCGGCGGGCTCGGCGCGGGCCTGGGCGCCCAGCAGCGCCGCGCCCAGCAGCAGCAGCAGCAGCAGCGGCCTCGGGGGGCTGCACGGCGACGGGGGCGCCATGGCCGAGCGGAGGGAGCGGGGCCTGCAGCGCAGGAGGGTCCTCGCGCCCGCCTCGCCCCTCCCCCCGCCCCGCCGCGCCCCCCACTCCTCCCGGGACCCTCGAGCCCCCGCCCCGCGCCCCCCGCCGCGCCCCCTCACCCCGACCTCAGCCTGCGCACACCAGCCCGAACCCCCTCCCTCGGACACCCCGCCCCGCGGCCCCCGAGCCACCGCCCTCACCGCGGTCGGGACCCGCGAACGCAGCGCCGGCGACAGGGGGAGACGCAGTGCGTTCGGCGCATGCGCTCCCCGACCTCGCCCGGGGTCCCCCCCCCAGTCCCAACCCGTCGTCATGGAAACCGGAGGCCTCGGAACCCGCAGATTTAAAGGGACCAGAGAGGCTCAGGGATTCTGGGAGCCCCACCCCGGGCTGAGCCTGGAGCACCGTCTGGTCCAGGGTGAAGTCAGGAGGGCTGCCTGGAGGAGGCGGCGTCTGAGAGGGACCAGCAGAGCCATCGCCCGAGGGAGCGAAGCGGAGGAGCCGGGCCGTCCGGGGGCCTGGTGTCCCTGGGCCGATCCCCGGCTGGTGGCGGCCAATCGGGGGCTGTCCCGGGAGACCCGGTCCAGAAACGACCCGGGCCCGCGCAGCCACCTCTCGGCCCCGACTCCGCCGGCCCGGCCCGACCCGTCTGGCCCGCCTTCCCCCCTCCCGGTGCCGACACCTCTTGGCCGCCCCCCAACAGTGTGCCCTCGGAGGGCGGGGTCCGGGGGTCTCTGTTCCCCTCGCTCCCCTTGAACACGAAGTCGTTGCCTTAAAGAGAAAGCCGATGAGCGTGTCTGGCCTGGGAGTTCGGGGGACCCACTGGGCGTCCACGGGTCGCCACTGAGCCCAGCAGGGCGCCCAGGCCGCCACCGAAGCCGCTACCCCGGGAGGCGCCCCAGCCCCGTCCTGCTGCGCCGGGGAGTGGGGGGGCGCCGGGTGGGGGGGCAGCGCCGGGTGGGGGGGGCGCCGGGTGGGGGGGCAGCGCCCGGCCCCGCCGCCGCCCTGGCTCTCGGATCAGCGGTCCCGCGGGCACGGGGGGAGGGGGAGGGTGCGGACTCGCGGCCCGTGACCTCCACGCCGCTCCTGCTGCAGCCGGGCCGGGCGGGGGCGCCCAGAACGCGGGAGCAGGGCGGTGGCTGGGGTCCCTGACGCGCTTCTAGGTCCCGAGCCCGCACCGGGCGGCGGGGGATGTGCGCCGGGACCCCAGCTGGCGGCCGCTCCGGTCGCCCCCGCCCCCCACACGCGCCCCCGCCCCGTGAGCGCGGGGACAGCCTCCCCCACCCCATCCCCTCCCAGGCCTGGCCTGACCCTCCCGCCGCCGCGCACAACCTCGGACCCCCCAACCTGCGCTCCCCGCAACCGCGCGCCCCTGCGGAGGGGACCAGGCCGCCAGTCGGCGAATCTCGGGGCCCTGAGAACGGGGTCCCCTCTCCCCGCCCGCATCCCCTCCAAACAACACAGACCTGTGAGCCCCTCTCCCCTCCCTCTGCTGTCCCTTTCCCTCATCTCCCCAGCCCCCAGGGGCCAGCCCTCCCCACGGGGTGGCAGCAGCGGCCTCCAGCCGCGGGCTCCAGGCCCCCAGGTCCCGCCATCGCCATCGAGCTCCGCTTGGGGAAGGGACTTCCCACTCAGCGAGTCCAAACCTGACGTCAACCTCCGTCTGCCGCCCCCCCAAACCTCAGTGGCTCTGTCTGCAGCTGTCCCATCGGGGGCGGCCAGACCCACCAGCCCTAGAGATCCTCTCCATCCCAGAGCCAAGGGGGCCACAGAACCCACCACTCCCGCCCACCGTCCCATGTCCCACGCTGCCCACGGCCCTAGTCCACACTGCCCACGGCCCTAGCCCACACTGCCCACAGCCCTAGTCCACACTGCCCACGGCCCTAGCCCACACAGCCCGCTAGTCCACACTGCCCACGGCCCTAGCCCACACAGCCCGCTAGTCCACACTGCCCACGGCCCTAGCCCACACAGCCCGCTAGTCTACACTGCCCACGGCCCTAGTCCACACAGCCCGCTAGTCCACTCTGCCCACGGCCCTAGTCCACACAGCCCGCTAGTCCACACTGCCCACGGACCTAGTCCACACTGCCCGCTAGTCCACACTGCCCACTAGTCCACACTGCCCACGGCCCTAGTCCACACAGCCCACTAGTCCACACTGCCCAGAGCCCTAGTCCACACTGCCCGCTAGTCCACACTGCCCACGGCCCTAGTCCACACAGCCCGCTAGTCCACACTGCCCAGAGCCCTAGTCCACACTGCCCGCTAGTCCACACTGCCCACTGCCCTAGTCCACACTGCCCGCTAGTCCACACTGCCCGCTAGTCCACACTGCCCACGGCCCTAGTCCACACAGCCCACTAGTCCACACTGCCCACAGCCCTAGTCCACACTGCCCACTAGTCCACGCTGCCCACGGCCCTAGTCCACACTGCCCACGGCCCTAGTCCACACTGCCCACGGCCCTAGTCCACACTGCCCGCTAGTCCACACTGCCCACGGCCCTAGTCCACACTGCCCGCTAGTCCACACTGCCCACGGCCCTAGTCCACACAGCCCGCTAGTCCACACTGCCCACGGCCCTAGTCCACACTGCCCACTAGTCCACACTGCCCGCTAGTCCACACTGCCCACTAGTCCACACTGCCCGCTAGTCCACACTGCCCACTAGTCCACACAGCCCGCTAGTCCACACTGCCCACGGCCCTAGTCCACACTGCCCGCTAGTCCACACTGCCCGCTAGTCCACACTGCCCGCTAGTCCACACTGCCCACGGCCCTAGCCCACACTGCCCACTAGTCCACACTGCCCACTAGTCCACACTGCCCAGAGCCCTAGTCCACACTGCCCGCTAGTCCACACTGCCCACGGCCCTAGTCCACACAGCCCGCTAGTCCACACTGCCCAGAGCCCTAGTCCACACTGCCCGCTAGTCCACACTGCCCACGGCCCTAGTCCACACTGCCCGCTAGTCCACACTGCCCGCTAGTCCACACTGCCCGCTAGTCCACACTGCCCACGGCCCTAGCCCACACTGCCCACTAGTCCACACAGCCCACTAGTCCACACTGCCCAGAGCCCTAGTCCACACTGCCCGCTAGTCCACACTGCCCACGGCCCTAGTCCACACAGCCCGCTAGTCCACACTGCCCAGAGCCCTAGTCCACACTGCCCGCTAGTCCACACTGCCCACGGCCCTAGTCCACACTGCCCGCTAGTCCACACTGCCCGCTAGTCCACACTGCCCACGGCCCTAGTCCACACAGCCCACTAGTCCACACTGCCCACAGCCCTAGTCCACACTGCCCACTAGTCCACGCTGCCCACGGCCCTAGTCCACACTGCCCACGGCCCTAGTCCACACTGCCCACGGCCCTAGTCCACACTGCCCGCTAGTCCACACTGCCCACGGCCCTAGTCCACACTGCCCACTAGTCCAAACTGCCCACGGCCCTAGTCCACACAGCCCGCTAGTCCACTCTGCCCACGGCCCTAGTCCACACTGCCCACTAGTCCACACTGCCCGCTAGTCCACACTGCCCACTAGTCCACACTGCCCGCTAGTCCACACTGCCCACTAGTCCACACAGCCCGCTAGTCCACACTGCCCACGGCCCTAGTCCACACTGCCCGCTAGTCCACACTGCCCGCTAGTCCACACTGCCCGCTAGTCCACACTGCCCACGGCCCTAGCCCACACTGCCCACTAGTCCACACTGCCCACGGCCCTAGTCCACACTGCCAACTAGTCCATGCTGCCCACGGCCCTAGTCCATGCTGCCCACTAGTCCACGCTGCCCACCGCTCCTGGTCCACAGTCCCACCGCCCCTGGCCCATGCTGCCCAGGCCTTGGCTCTCAGTTACCTCACTGCCCTCCACTTGCTGCCCCCCAGGGTCCAGGCTCCATGACCCATTAAACCCCCTGCCCCCTCCGCCTCCCCCAGCCCTGCACCCACCAGCTGCTTCCTGTCTCTGGATCTGACTCTTTTTTTTTTTTTTTTAATATATTTTATTGATTTTTTTACAGAGAGGAAGGGAGAGAGATAGAGAGCCAGAAACATTGATGAGAGAGAAACATCGATCAGCTGCCTCCTACACATCTCCCACAGGGGATGTGCCCGCAACCCAGGTACATGCCCTTGACCGGAATCGAACCCGGGACCCTTCAGTCCGCAGGCCGACGCTCTATCCACTGAGCCAAACCGGTTTTGGCTGGATCTGACTCTTATGCTACTTCGTGGGAGTGGGGCTGCACAGTGTTCGTCTCTGCGTCTGACTTATTTCACTTCACAGGGTCCTCACGGTTCATCCACGGCCAAGCATGTCAAACTCGTGGCCCGCGGGCCAAGTGTGGCCCACAATGAGTATTATTGCAGCCCAGCCAATATAATGGTATGGAAGAAACACTTTAATAAAAATTTCAGCCAAAACCGGTTTGGCTCAGTGGATAGAGCATCGGCCTGCGGACTGAAGGGTCCCGGGTTCGATTCCGGTCAAGGGCATGTACCTGGGTTGCGGCCACATCCCCAGTAGGAGATGTGCAGGAGGCAGCTAACCGATGTTTCTCTCTCATCAGTATTTCTAACTCTCTCTCTCTCTCCCTTCCTCTCTGTAAAAAATCAATAAAATATATTTTTAAAAATTTCATAATTTTTACAATATCCTGTTACACATAATCCTGTAACATTAAAGCCTAATATGCAAATCATCCCCTTGCTATGACGTGTGCTGACCACCAGGGGCCAACGCAGAACACGGCAGGTGTCAGTGACACGTGCTGGCAGCAGGCGGCAGTGGAAGTGCTGCCGCCCTGATGGGCTGGAGGAGAGTGGGATCACGGCCCCCCCGACCACCCCCCCAGTCCTCCCCGCAACCGCGCACCCCTGCGGAGGGGACCATGCCTCCAGTCGGCCCAATCTCAGAGCCCAAGTACGTATGTGGAGCAGGTGAGCTGGCGGCTCAAAGTGGGTGTGACGTGGGGGTGGAGGGGCGATTGCCCCGCCAATCGCCTGCAGACAGTGACCAGCGGAGGAGGTGGGGGGCGGGGCTGCTGTCAGGCTCTCAGGCACTGAGTGGGGGGTGCCCGATAGATCCTCAGGGAGGAACAGGTGAGGGGGCGGTGCCAGACCCAGGCAGGGTGCCAGGCGGGGCTAGGAGGCTGGGGACAGGCCACTCTGAGGGACCCAACCTGTGCATGAATTTGTGCACCAGGCCTCTAGTTATTAACAAACTACACCAGCGGTTCTCAACCTGTGGGTCGCGACCCTTTGGAGGTCCAACGACCCTTTCACAGGGGTCGCCTAAGACCATCGGAAAACACACATATAATTACATATTGTTTTGTGATTAATCACTATTATTTAATGATGTTCAATTTGTAACAATGAAAATACATCCTGCATATCCGATATTTACATTATGATTCATAGCAGTAGCAACATGACAGTGATGAAGTAGCAACGAAAATAATTTTATGGTTGGGGGTCACCACAGCATGAGGAACTGTATTAAAGGGTCGCAGCGTGAGGAAGGTTGAGAACCACTGAACTGCACCATTCGCTAATGACTGGTTACTATGATCGTGTTGCATTCATTTCCCTTACGCGCCTTACACGCAGGCGCACCATTTCTCTCCACTAATACCAGCAGCAAATATTCTAGCAGCGATGGCCACGTCATTAGTCTTGGACGGACTTGTTTGGTGTGCGCAACAGGAAATATTTCGCTTTCAGAGAACAAGGAAAATAGGTTTATTTGCATGACACTTATTAATTTGTGCAGTTATACAATGTCTGCTAAGTTCATCTTCAAGAAAAAGTAATAATTTTATCAAGGTGTTCTATTAATGTATGCGAACGATGACTCCTTTATCTCAGCCCTTTGCATTCAGCACGTCTCTATCGAAATAAACCCGTTTCTATGAAAATTGCAGCTTTGTTTTTTTGTGGCCACATCCATGTACACCTTATTTGGCCCGCGTTAGCCTTTGAGTTTGACATGCTTGGAGCCTATGGCAGGATTTCCTTCCTTTTTCTCCCCCTTAAATATATTTTTATCGATTTCAGAGAGGACACAGAAACATTGATGATGGGAGAGGATCACTGATCTGCAGCCTCCTGCACGCCCCCCACTGGGGATCGAGCCCGAAAACCTGATAGGGAGTCGAACCATGACCTCCCAGTTCATAGGTCGACGCTCAACCCCTGAGCCACACCGGCCGGGCGCATCCCCTTCCCTTTTAAGGCTGAGTAACACTGGGCTGCGTGGATGGACCGCGTCTGCTTATCCATCCGCCTGTAGACGGACACCTGGGCTGTGTCCGCGGTCAGTGCCGGGGGCCAGGGCTTCATATGTGGCCATGGGGGGCGTGTTTGGTCCCGGCACCGCGCCCCCAGCGCCTCCCTGACTGCGTTTTCACTCTCACTTCCCACCTGACTGCTGTTGCACCCAGAGCTCTTGGGGGGGTGGGGGGTGCCCTCAGGGACATTTGACAAAGTCTGGAGACATTTCCTGTGGTCATGATGGGGGGGGGGCGGTGTCACCGAACCCACTGGCAACCTGCCCGATTGTGGCTTGCCGCTGGTGGTGCAGTGAGAGCCTTGGTCTGCGTTGTGTCCCTGGGATGCCGCCCCGGAGGCGGGAGCCAGTATCTGCTCGGTCAGATGCCAGGACGCTGCGTGCAGGGACCCAGGGGAGCGGGGTGCTGGGGTCCAACCCCAGCAGGTCCAGGGGTCCCCAAAGGTGGGGACGGAGTCGGTGAAGAAGGAATGACACGGAGACAGCGTTCAGTTGATCAGCAGCCTAGCCAGGATCTCTAGCCAGGATCTCCAGCCAAGTTCTGGTCTGGATCTCCAGCGAAGTTCTGGTGTTTATTGTCTTGTTACATCCGTATTTATACCAGTTGATTTTAATCCTGTCAATTTCTATTGCAAAGGTTAGGGCGTTTCTTATCTCCATTCCAGGGAGTAAAGATTATGTAGCTTAAGCATGATTGTTTGTAGTGATTAACTACCCGCCTGGCACTTAATTAAGGAGTTTTATCCCCTCCCTGACTTCAGGGAAAAATCCCTACCTGGGGAAACAACCTTTCTCAGAGAGGTGACCTTGGTTAAAACACAGCGCTAAGGGGAGCAAACATATTAAGAACAGTATGCTATATACGCCAGGTCCCTTGAAACATATGCTGTGCAGATGTTTCTTTCCTGCAGCGACTGTGTCAAGCAGCAAGGATGGACCGGCTTCCGGCAGCGGGGAACCAGCCTGCATGGGCAGAGGTGCCAGCCTCAGGGGCTGCCAGGCCGGGATAAGATGGCACAAAGGGCAAGAAAAGGAGAGCCGCTGGTGGGGCAGGGCCTCCAGGGAGGAGGGGTGAGCGTGGCGCAGGGTGGGTCTGGGGGGGCGGGGGGGGGGGGAATTCGGTCAGAAACGGTGCATTGGCGGTGCGGGCCCTGCAGGCTCAGTTCAGAGCCGTGGGGCCCGGAGGTTGGAGTGGGGGAGCTGGCGGGGCCACTCAGTGGCTCCAGGAAGCGCAGGTCATGAACCCCCCTGGCGCCCCCACCCCAGCACCTAGAGCCCTCCACCCCTCCACATGCTCAAGCCCTCAGGGACCAGGTGGGTCGGGGCACCTGACCCCTGAAGAGGCTGGTTGGCGGCTGCCCGCTGGCTTGGGCTTTGCCCAGACCCCTTCCCAGAGCAGGTGCGCCCCAGGCCCACCGCCCCGCACTCAGCGTCAGGGCCCCCACTACCCCTCTGCTCCCCCTGCATCCGCCTCCGGGAAGGGGGGCTGGGATGGGCGGGTGGAGCCCACGTGACGCCGATGGACCCGGGATGGGGGAGAGGAGCAGTGAAGGTGACCTCGGGCCGGGGAGACGGGGTGTGGGTCCCAGACGCCAAGCGCAGGGAGAAGTGGCAGCAGCTCTGTGGCCCCGAAGGTGAAGGTCAGGGGCGCAGCCTGAGGGCCACCAGCCGGGAGCAGGGAGGCCAGTGGGTGCCGGCCAGAGCTGGACGAACCACCCCCCACTGCGGTCCTACCTGCTGCTGCTCTGCATTGCCGTCACTTTTTTCTAATTCTCACCCGAGGATGTTTTCCCATTGATTTTAGAGAGAGTGGGAGGGAGGGAAAGAGAGCGAAACATCCACCTGAGAGAAACACATCCATGGGTTGCCTCCTGCAGGTGCCCGACCAGGGCCCAGGCCGGGGAGGAGCCTGCAACGGAGGTCCGTGCCCTTGGCCGGAGTCGAGCCCGGGACCCTTCCGTCTGCAGGCCGATGCTCTAACCTCTGAGCCACACGGCCAGGCTGCATTTGTGGCACCTTTTATTGGACGTCAGCGTCTGGGGGATTTTCACTCCACTGTGAATTGTGAGCTGTGCCCTGGAGTGCAGTGCGCTCCTGGGTCTTTAGGTTCTGCTCTGTGAGCTCTGAGTCTTCAGGCCACAGACCCCACGGCCGAGGCAAGAGCCTTCGAGGCCTCCTCTCGGTGCCCCGCGCTGGCGTGGCGCCCGCCCAGCCCTGTGCCCCAGGGGTGCCTGCCTGGCCCTGTGCCTTTCCCAGCCTCAGGCAGTCTGCACACGCAGGTGCTGACCAGGGCTCCACTGAAAATGTCAGGGGACATGCTGAGCCCCCACCTACTGCTTTTTTTATGCATCTCTCCTCTGGTACTCGGCCCTGAAATGCCAGTCACCATGGTCGCCCCAAGTTCTACGCTCTGTCTCTTCTCGTCGGGGTGCTGCCCACGGCGTCCCCCCTTGCCAGAAGCCGGTCCATCCTTGCTGCTTGACACAGTCGCTGCAGGGAAGAAACATCTGCACAGCATATGTTTCAAGGGACCTGGCGTATATGGCATACTGTTCTTAATGTTTGCTCCCCTTCTTAGCGCTGTGTGTTTTAACCAAGGTCACCTCTCCGAGAAAGGTTGTCTCTCCAGGTGGAGATATTTCCCTGGAGTTAAGGATTAACAGGACTAAGGAAGGGAATAAATTAGTAAAACCCCTTAACTAAGTACCAGGTGGGTAGTTAATCACTTTAACTAGGAACAATCACGATTAAGCTACATAATCTTTACTTAGGATAATCTCCTTCAGTTACTTCCTTGTAGCTTAACAGAACAGCAGAGTAGTGACCTTGGAATGGAAATAACTAGCCCTAACCTTTGGAATAGAATGGATAGGATTAAAATCTACAGAACTAGATGGAAACAGGATTTTTGGCAAAGGTTAGATAAGAAACTATGGACATGAAACAAGGAACTGTAGAAGTTTAAGGGAGGACCCAAAACATACCATGATGTAACTACAGAGGCATGCTTATAGGATCAGATGGTATAAATACAGATGTAACAGGAGAATAAAGAGAACCTGGCTATGCTGATCATCTGAACACTGTCTCCGTGTCCTTCATTCTTCGACCATGCCGTCCTCACCTTTGGGGACCCCTGGACCGCAGGGGCTGGACCCCGGCACCCACCCCAGTCTTCCCAGGGTGGCCTGGGCTCACGGAACTCACCTGTCGCCTTCCATTCAGGGACCCCGCTGGGCACGGCGTGGCCTGCGGCCTGGGAAGCACCACGTGTCGTGCGTTCGGTCCAGTGTTTCGATGCTGAGTGGTCGCCCACGGCCACAGTGGAGGCTGCTGCTCCTCACTGTCCCCGGCAAGAAGCTCCACAGACCCCGAGGGAGCGCCTGGCTGCTCCCCACCTCGGCCGGCCGGCGGGGCCCAACGCTCACATGGGGCCACTCCGGGCGGCTTCATGCGGGGACAGCAGCCAACAACTGCTGTCCAGTTCCAGTCCGAGGGCCTGTCGGGTGGGGAAGGAGGGACCAGAGCCCGGTGTGCGGTCGGGGTGGGCGGCAGGGCTGTGAGTGGAGAAGTGGGACTTGATGGGAGAACAGGTCTGACTGATGGCGGAGTGTGAAGGGCTGGATGGAGGGGGTCTCTGACCCTTCGCATCGCGGTGACAGACATGTCCACGCCCTGGAGAACGTTAAGTCTGAACGGACCGTCATCGGCCGGTGTGAGGCACGGTCGGGTTCACACTGTGGGTGGGGCGCTTTGGCCGGACGCTGAGGAAGGAGACACCCAGAGGAGTGCTTTTGGGGAGACAGGAAGAGTCTTGGGGTGTAAATGAGGAGGAGGAGGTCAGCGACAAAGGGAGACCTGGGAGCAAGACTAGAGGGAGGGAGGACAGTTTGATCTGCGGGGCGAGTGGTGGGCACCCCACAACTGGGCCTGGTCCTGGCCGGCCTGGAGAGGGTTTCTGGCCCAGCGCTAGGTCTTTGTCTACCCTAAGCACTGCCTCCTGGGGCCAGGTGTGTGTGTGTGCGCAGAGCAGATGGAAAACGGGGCCCCACAGGTGGAGGGCTTGGGGGAGACTGTCTGGTACAGGGACACGGGCCCAGCCGGGGCAGGAACCGAGGCCACTCTGCCCCCCGCTCCCCATGCCCCCGTGCGCAGCCCTGTCCTCCCCTCACCCCGTGGCATCCCAGGCCCCCTCCTGGGCCCTCCTGCTCCACTGCCGCACAGGAGGTGCTTTTTGGTTTTTCATTTTTTATTGATTTCAGAGAGGGAGAGGGAGAGAGAGACACTTCAGTGATGAGAGAACCATTGATCGGCTGCCTCCTGCACGCCCCCTACTGGGGATCGAGCCCGCAACCCAGGCTTGTGTCCTGACCGGGATTGAACCCGGGACCCTTCAGTCCTCAGGCCGATGCTCTATCCACTGAGCCCAACCAGCTAGGGCCAGACGAGATTTTTAACAAAGGTTCGAAGGCAATTCATTTCAAAAAATGGTGCTGGGGCATGAGCTATCCATATTTAAAGCCAGAAACGTTGACTTTCTCGTATTGCCGTCTGATGGGTGTACGGGGAACCAGGTGATTTTGATGCTCAGGTGGCTGATCCGTTCAAGCATCTATTTGCTTCTCAGGTTGGGGTTCCCTTCCGTTCGCCCTCTTCCCTCCTGCCCGCTGGTTTACCGGCCGTCTCTCTCTCTGACGTACAGGCATTCCCTCTCACTCCCGCTGTTGATTCTCGGCTGCTTTTACTCCTGGCTGGTGTGGCTCAGTGGAGAGAGCGTCGGCCTGCAGACAGAAGGGTCCTGGGTTCGAGTCCAGCCAAGGGCATGTGCCTGGGTTGCAGGCTCTTCCCTGGCCCAGGCCCTGGCAGCAGCGAATGCATGTCTCTCACATCCATGTTTCTCTCGCTCTGTCTGACCCTCTCTCTTCCACTCTAAGAACCAATGGAACATATCCCCAGGGGAGGATCAAAAAAACAAAAAATCCTCCGTCGCTTTGAAATCTGGCAACACCTCGTCCTCGTGGTCCGCCTCCTCTTCCGGCGCGGAGCCCGAGGCGCGTTTCCCTGATGACCCGGAACCGCGCCCCAGGACTCAAAGAGCCGCGCCCCGCGCAGGCCGGCGGCCCACATCACCGGGCCCTTCCTGGCCCGCACCCCGTGGGCTCGCCGGGCGGCTCCTGCCCGGCCCTGGAGCCGCAGCCCCGCGCGGCCCGCGCCCTCAGGAAGCCTGCTCCGCAGCCGCGTGTAAAGCTGCTTCTCACGCTCACGATCCGTTATTTCTCTTCTTTTCTATGGAACTTACTGGGGTGACGTCGGGTGACCAAACGGAGCCGCTCCCAGGGGTGCAGCCGCGGCACCGCCCGGCCGGTCTCCTTCCGCCCCCCCCCCCCCCGCCCCGGTCGTCACCACACTGCGGTCTGTCTGTGAACAATTCCAGTTATTATTAAATACACTTTTACTGGTTTCAGAGAGGGAGAGAGAGAGGGAGAGACCCACGAGTCGGCTGCCTCCTGCGCGCCCCCCACCGGGGACCGGGGACGAGCCCACAACCAGGCGCGCGCCCCGACCCGGAATGGAACCGGGACCCTCCGGCCCGCAGGTGGACGCTGTCCGGAGCCACACCGGCCGGGCCGGGGCGCGTCTCCCAGTAACAAACCCATCACGCCGTCCGCCGCCGGGAGGAGCGTCTCACCGGCCTGCTGCCCGCCTCCGGCGGCGGGGCTCCGCTGCGGCCCACGCCGCGGGTGGGGTGGGGGCAGGGCTGCCAGGAGAACCCGCCTCCGGAACGTGGGCGTCCCCCCGGTCCGCGCGCCTCTCCCACCCCCACGACTCCCCGCGGCCGTCGTCCTCTCCCCGGACTCCGAGTGCAGCTGCCCCTCCCGGGGGCGTCTCCACCGCCGAGGCGCGCCCGCAGGTTCGGCTCAACTCAAGTATGACATGCCCCGCGGGCTGGGCTTTCGCGGGCGCGGCCTGGCGCGGGCACACGCGGCGGGCGAACGAGAGCCGGACCGGGCCGGCCTTCCTCCCTCCCTGCGGCCCCCGGGCCTCGGCGCCCCACAGGCGCAGTGTAAGGCCTCGGCCGGCGGCGCGCGCTCTCTCTCGGGGACCCGCGGCGCACCAGCTTCCAATCGCCGCCGCCCGCGCGCAGGCGCACTCGCCGACGGCGCCACGCCCCTCCTCTGACGTCACGCTGCCCCCGGAACGGACAGTGGGCGGCGCCCTGTCACGTGACGGCGGACGGCGCGCCTCAGCCGGCGTCGCCACGCAGCGTCTCGCCGAGGCCCCGCCCCGACGACACGTCACCGCAGACGCCAGGCGGGCGCCGCCATGTCGGGGGGCCTCGCCGCGGGCGCGCAGGTGTCTTCATAAGATGCCGGCTCGGCGGCGGCGCCCGGCGTCCCCCCCCCCAAGATGGCGTCCATGCGGGAGAGCGACACGGGCCTGTGGCTGCACAACAAGCTGGGCGCCACGGACGAGCTGTGGGCGCCGCCCAGCATCGCGTCGCTGCTCACGGCCGCGGTCATCGACAACATCCGCCTCTGTTTCCACGGCCTCTCGTCGGCCGTGAAGCTCAAGCTGCTGCTCGGGACGCTGCACCTCCCGCGCCGCGCGGTGGACGAGGTGAGGCGGCGCGCGCGGCGGCCTCCGGAGCCGGACCCCCGCTCCCGGCGCGGACACGCGGGGCCCTGTGCGCGGCGGCGGAGGAGCGCGGCCCCGGGCCCGGGCGGGGAGCCTCTCGGAGGGCGGCCTGGAGGCTGCGCCCCACGAAGCGGCCGCCGCGCGGGGCCGCGCACGCCGGGGCCCGTCCCCGCCCGTGTCTGCGTCACGCGAGTTGGGGGCTCGGGTTGGTTTCCCCGGGACGCGCGTCGGGTGGTTCCGCGCGGAGGGGCCGAGCGCCAACCGCCGTCCCGCCCCCGCGGGCGTGTCCGCGGCGCTGCCTCCTCGGGGCGGCGCGCGTGGGCCGGTCCGCCCGCCGGGCCCGGGGCCGTGGGGGCCTCGGCCGCGCTCTCCCCTGAAATGTCCTCTCCATCGCCTCGAGCGAGGAAGGCGGAGGGGGACCCCGCGGGGATGGAGCCGGTCCCCCCGCGTTTCCCTCCGGGAGGCGCCGCCGACAGCCCCGCTCGGTCGGGGGGCGCGGCCGTGACGGCGGGTGTTGGTCTCGTCGTTCGGGACAGTGTTCCCGAGGCTGCTTCCCTCTCTTTATTTACTTACTTGTTCACGGTCTGAAGTTTCCCGTGTCTCCTCCCCCACTGGGCCCCCGGCGCGCCCACCGCGAGCCCCGCCCTCCCCGCCGTGGCGGCGCCGTCCCTGCATCCCGGTGCGTGACGCTGAGCCCCGCACCCGGACCACGGCTCTCCCACGGGCTCGGGGCTCGGGCCGCTCCGCGGGGGGAGCGCCGGGCGGCAGCGGGAGGCGGGGCGCCCGTCCACCGAGGAGACAGAAGGGAGCGCCGGGCAGCGGTTGGTGATCATGTGAGTGACGTGGGGACCGGCCGAGCTTACAGCGCCACCCAGACCGAGCGGGCATGTGCCCGTGTTCACCAGCGCCGGCCGGTGGGTGCGGGGCGGGCCGGTGGGTGCGGGGCGGGCGGGGGGCGGGGCCTGGAGAGACCCGCTGAGCTGGCGCTGAGCATGGGCCCCAGGCTTCCCAGGGAGCGCGGCCTCGGCAGGAAACAGGAACCACCGGAAGCCTCTGCGGCGCCCCACCCCCCTCGGGCCAGGCGGACCCACAGCTGGTGTCGCCGCGCGCACATGAGACACGGCCGGCACGCGCCTGGTCTGTCGGTCAAACCGTGGGACACTGGTTCCCCTTCTTCTCTCTGGGCCATTGGGAGACGCGGGCCCCAGCAGCAGCCGGAATGGAGGCCTCAGACAACTGGGCCGCCGCCTCCACGGACCAGAACACACGGCTGTAGAGTCTTAATTCTCCCCTAAAACATGCCCAGCTGCTCCTCTTCAGCCGGATGGACTGAACTAAGGAACCAAAGACAAGTTTCCTCTGGGGCGGGATCCACGGGGAGCCGGCTGGTGGCGAGGCCCCCCACAGGCGGCTGCTGCCCCCCACGCTCGGGGAGCTCTGGGCTGGGGGTGCCGGGTCCCGGGCGGCTGGTCCACAGGGTTTCTCTCCGCCGCCTTCCTGGCCTCCCGAGCCGTCCCCTCTGCCCCACGCACCAGGCTCTGTCGCTAGAGCCGGGACTCGGAGCGAAGGAGCCGCACCCCCACCCGCTTCTCATGCCGCGGTGTGAGGTCGATTTCTAGACATCCCGTGTTTTTTCATGTCATAAGCATGTTACAGACGTGTTTTAGGTGAGTTTGTGATGGCGGCTCTGCTGAAGCCTTCCTGGCTGCCGTACCCTCCCTGTACAGCCTTACCTTGCTGTGTCCTTTCTGTGATGGTCGCTGCCCAGTTACTTCTTTTTCTCCCCGTCCCCCTGCCAGTCACCAGGACCCTCCGGTATATTGTCTCCTGATCACAGGGAGGCTCTCTCTTGCCACTAGCGAGACAGTGTTTCCTGTTGCTGTTTGTAGGTACCTTTTATCTGGTTATGAAAATTCCATCCCTAGAATTTAAAAACTTTATTTTAATCATGAATGAGTTTTAACAACTCTGTTGAGATATAGCTCAGGTACCATACCACGCACCCCTGTGGTAGGGACAGTTGAGTTGGTGGTTGGTGTGTATCATCCTAATCAACTTCAGAACATTTCCGTCAGCCCCAGATCAGCCCGGTGCCAACCAGCAGGCCCCCCCCCCCAGCCCTCGGCGCCCGCTCATCTGTTCTCTGTGCCTGTGGATTCCCCGGGTCTGGACGTTTGCTGCGTGGACTCGTGATCTGTGGCCTGGATGACTGGCTTCTGCCTCGGCGCGGTGTTCCCACGGCTTACCCTGTGGTCCTGCCTCATCCTCTATGACGGGGGATGTCCCGCTGGTTGACCCACCGCTGTCGTCACCAGCCACTCGTCAGCTGGGGAGCACGGGGTGTCTCCACCTTGTGTCTGTTGTGAGAGATGCTGTGTGGAGACTCATGGCAAGTCCTGGTGGACGCGGCTCTTGGTTTGCACTGAGGACGGATGTTTTCAGTCCTCAGGTTGCCCGGGGGGGACTGTGGGTCATAACGTCACTGCTCACCCTGCGAGGCCCTGTGGCCCACGTGCTGACGCTTTGGTGGGGAGGGGCGCCGGGTGGGCAGAGAGGCGCTGGGGGGAGAACTCGGCCTCCGGGCATGGAGGGGCCAGGGCCCAGCCCGTGTTACCCTGGGGCTCTGGCGTGCTGGCCTCCAGGGTCTCCTGTGCTGTCCCAGGGGAGTGCCGGGCCTGGCTGCTCCTGAGGCTCCTGCTAGCGTGGGCGCCTTCTGTCCCGAATCCCAGCACCTGCTGACTCCAGGCCCAGTGACCTCTGTGCCCTGGGGAGGCCTCCCCAGATGCGGGGCGTGTGGGTCACAGAACCAGTGAGCACGCCACACGCCTTCCCTGCCCTCCCAGGAGTCACCCGGGCCTGGGGAGTGTGCCAGGGCCGCCCGCCCGGCCGCCGCTCCCGTCCTCACCACCTGGGCCCAGCTCTCCGCACCCAGCAGCCTCATCAGCAGGCTCCCTACACGGGGTGGCGCCTGGTGTGATTCTCAGCAACACGCACTCACAGGCCGCAGACAGACGTGCGCGCTCCTTGCAGATGCCGTCAGCTTGCAGGGGCCTGGTGCTGCTGTGGGAGGCTGGGCGCTGGGGCTGCCCCGCAGGAGAGCGGCCACCAGCCGGTGGGAGCACTAGATCTGAGGGCACTGCAGCCTGGTGGAGGCTGGGGGGCAGGAGGAAGGGGCTGTGGTTCCTGTGAGGGTGGGCCTGGCAGGGGGCAGGTGCGGAGAGGCTGGGCGCTGCCCTGTGGCCCCCAGAAGCTACAGGGAGTTTGAGGGGCCCTCTGTGTTTAGAAACAAAGGATGGTGGCTGTGCCTGGTGCTCTGCGCCTCCTGCCGCACTGCTCCAGGCAGCGGGGCGGCTCCCCGAGGGCGGGGCCCCTGAGGACGCCCTCCCCCCCGCAGATGAAAGGCGCCCTGGCGGAGATCATCCAGCTGGCCGCCCTGGACTCGGACCCCTGGGTGCTCATGGTCGCCGACATTCTCAAGTCCTTTCCCGACTCGGGCTCGCTTAACCTTGATCTTGAAGAGCAGAACCCCAACGTTCAGGATATTCTGGGAGAACTTCGAGAGAAGGGTATGTCGCCTGTTTGGTTTGTGCTGGGAGGAGGGCAGCAGGCTTCCCGAGGGGAAACGTCTTTGTAAAAACGCATCTGGGCTCTGAGGGCTTCGTGGGCCGTGCCCTGTGCAGGAGGGCGCTGTGTGCACGCACCGCCCTCACGCTGCCTCCGGTCCTCACGACCACGAGACGGGCCTCTAACCCGTAGCCTCCCCGCCCGCGCTTGCTTGTGCTGAAACTTATTCTCTTCCTGTTCACACGCCCCCCCCCCCCCCCCCCCCCCCCCGCCTCGCAGCCCATGAGGCGCGTGCACTGCCTGTGCAGGGGTGTCGCCAGTGCCTAGAACAGTGCCTGGCACAGAGCAGATGCGCAGAAGTGGTGTTGGGAGCAGCAGCAGTTCAGTTGTTCAGATCATGAGCCAGGAACTGTTAGAAATGACCGTGTCTGAAAGGACACGTGAAGGAGAGCTGGCGGCCCCTTAACGAGGGAGCCGTGTCTGCTCCGTGGGCCACGGCCTGACTGCGGCGGCTCCCAGCCCCTGCGCACTAACTCGGGGACAGACAGGCCTCGGAGTCAGGCGGAGGCCAGGTGGCCGCGCTGAGGCCCGCGCTGGCCTGGCGGGTACCTGCTCCAGGACTCCAGGAGGCGGGTGGGGAGCCCCCTCCTCACTGTGCTGCTTCTGGACGGACAGTGACCGAGTGCGAGGCGTCCGCCATGCTGCCTCTCGAGTGCCGGTACTTGAATAAAAGCGCCCTGACGACCCTCGCCGGCCCCCTCACCCCCCCGGTGAAGCACTTCCAGCTCAAGAGGAAACCGAAGAGCGCCACGCTCCGCGCCGAGCTCCTGCAGAAATGTGAGTGCCGCCCCCGGGCCGCGCTGGGTGGGGAGCGGCCGCGCTGGTCTGTCTGTGGCTTTATTCTTAGCTTCCTTTTAGATTTCACGCTCTAAACGGTCTTTTCGGAGTCCTGCATGTTGCTACACTGAACTATGTTCTAAAATCTATTTTGGAAACTTCAGGATTTTCAGGTTTAAGTATTTGTACTCTTAGTTGCAAAAATGAAATTTGTCCCGAGTCCCACGGGCGACGAGACAGGCGGCTTCGCACAGGATGTTCCTGCTCCCGTGACTCCGCCTCGTTCTCGGTGCAGGTCTGGGTTTGGCTGGAAAGGTGTTCCCCAGCTCGCGGCTGAGGGCGTGTGTGTGGCAGGTCCCGGCCGGGAAGCAGGGAGTTCCATTCCTTCAGCCAAATAGCAAAACACGGACTTCAGGGGTTTTGAGTGGCTGTGGGATGGATAGTAACACGCTAAGCGCCACGTCAGTCACCGGTGCAGCCAGCATATCAGTGAAATCGGGTGTCGCAGGCTAAACGGGAAGGAAGATAAAGCAGGCTTGGCGCTTAACGTGTCAATAACATACATACGTGCCCTGTCCCAGAGAAGCCAAATAAACCCAGCAGCTGCTGTGACCCTTGGTTCAGATGGACAGTGCCCCAGGCGAGCACAGCCCCACGGCACTGCTGTCCACGTGTGGACCCCCGTGTGTGGGCGCGCTGCTCAGAGTTGCAGGCTGCGTGTCTACGGGAGAACTCGCCGTGCACCTCCTGGTGCGGCAGGTGGTAGGGGCACAGTTCCCAGCAGGGGCGGGGCACTCCCTGTGGGGCCCGCTGACATGCACCCTTCCCCTCGCAGCCACAGAGACCGCCCAGCAGCTGAAGAGGAGCGCGGGGGTGCCCTTCCACGCCAAGGGCCGGGGGCTGCTCCGGAAGATGGACACCACCAGTAAGGCCGCCCCCGGACTGCCCTGGGCTGCCTCTTGCTCAGGCCCTGTTCAGAGGGAACTGTCCCTGGTGTGTGCAGTGACAACCCTTTGACAGATGCCGGCCAGCGTGGGGGAGGGAGCCATGGAGCCGGTGCCAGCCGCTCACCAGGCAGGCAGGAAGGCGGGAGAGGTGCTGCCTGCAGGGAAGGCCATTGCTGGTGCAGGCTGCCCACGTGGCATTCTTGTTCGGTGTTTTTGGCAGAAATGTCATAGGTTGGCTGTGATGTGGTTGTTGGCTGAGGCCCTCTCTGCTGAGCAGGTGACCTGGCACCGAGTGCTTGTTCACTGGCGAGAGCAGGCCCCCCCCATCCCCACCCCACCCCCGTCTCGGACGCAGCAGGGCCGTGCGCTCAGGGCTATGGGTCAGGCTCCTGCTGCCCAGCACCAGCAGGCTCCTAGGACCAGGGCCTCGCGGGTGAGCGTTGTCCTCTCGGGCACGGCAGCGGCCTCTGGTCCAGAGAGCGCGGCTTGCACGGGCGGCAGAGACGGGCCACGGCCACTGACGGCCCTGTCCTCCCCACAGCCCCGCTCAAAGGTATCCCGAAGCAGGCGCCCTTCCGCAGCCCCACGGCCCCCAGTGTCTTCAGCCCGGCTGGGAACCGGACCCCCATGCCCCCCTCGAGGACGCCTCTGCGGAAGGAGAGGGGCGTGAAGGTGGGCGCGCCCCGTCGGTGTCTGCCCTCGTGGCTGGCCTTGGCGCGCTCCACACCGTAGCTAAGGCGGCCTCTATCTTGGCAGCTGCTGCACATTTCTGAGCTGGATACGGTCGGTGCCGGCCGAGAGGCAAAGAGGAGAAGGAAGACGCTGGGTGCGTACCTGGGCCCCCGGGGTCGGCGGAGGGAGCGCTGCCACCGGCAGGGGCTCGGCCCGGGCTCACCCCTGGTGCTTGGTCCCAGTGGGGCTGCCTCTCGGAGAAGGTGGCCGCAGGGGCAGCCCTTTCCTGAGAGCGCGTTTCCTTCTCTGCTTGGAGACGGGCTTGGGCAGCGTTTCGGGGCTACTTGCTGAGCTGCTTGAGGGGGGCTACTGGGGGCACTGATGAGGCTCTGTCCGCAGACACGGAAGTGGTGGAAAAGCCGGCCAAGGAGGAGACGGTCATCGAGAACGCCACCCCCGACTACGCAGCCGGCCTGGTGTCCACACAGGTAGGCTTCCAGCCAGTGCCTCACGTGGCCACTGTGCTCCCTCGTCCCGATCCTTAGCCACTAAAGTGTGTTGTCGGAGAATATATATATATGTATATACATGTGTGCATACATACGTGTGCGGTGTGTATGCATATGGACATGCATATGAGAGGCAGCGCTGGCCAGGGGGCCCCCCGGCCTGTGCATGTCACGTGACACATGCTGGCGAACTGAGATCACCAGATGTGGCGCCTTGCCAGGCCCCTTTCTTGCGCGGGAGACCGGTGCCCGCCTCTCCGAGTCCCCTGCGCAGACTGTGTGAGCAGCTGTGGCCTGGAGAAGCTTCCCATTGCGCAGCTGTCCTCGCCTTTTCCTACTGTGTGCACGTCTTCCTTCTGTCGTGTTTTCATAAGAAAACCGTTGTTGGACTTTTTTCTTTCCTCAAAGAGGGCTGGCTTGGGGCTCCTTAACCAAACAGGAGCCCAGCCCTCCCTGCTGGGGCCCAGAGCAGCCCTTCCAGCCGGGGCGGCACGTGCCCTGCTCCAGGGCGAGGCTCCTGGGGGGCACGGAGACCCAGGCCTCTCCTGGGGGGGACCATGCACTGTCTTCCAGAAACTCGGGGCTCTGAACAGCGAGCCGTCGCTGCCCTCCACCAGCTACCTGCCTGCCACCCCCAGCGTGGTCCCCGCCTCCTCCTACATCCCCAGCTCCGAGACGCCGCCAGGTAGGCTGTGGCAGCAGCGGGGGCCGCCCTCACGAGGCCCCAGGCGCCCACCTGCCAGGGCCCCCCGCCCGCTGTGCTGCTGGCACGTGCCTGGCCCTCCTGGGGTGACAGGCGGTGCCTCAGCTGCAGCTTGACCGGGAAGTGGCCAAGGGGGCAGAGCGCAGGGCCCGCGGGTCCCCTCCCTGTCCTGGAACTTGCATCTCAGAGGCCTGTGGTCTTACCTGGTCGGGCTCCCCTTTGCTGCCAGGAACAAGGTCCCAGGGAGAGGGCGGCCAGAGACGCCTTGGGGTCTGCCAGCCAGGCGGGCTCCAGAGCTGCCTTCCTGCCTCGCCAGTGACCAGGACGAGAACTGGCCCAGGCCAGGCACTGAGCAGAGCCCGGGTGTTGTCTGAAAAGGCCTGAGGCCTCTGGTCCAGGGCAGGGCTCTCTGCAGCCTGTTCCCACCCCAGGCGGGGGTGCTGCTTGTGGCGCTTGCCCTGCTGCGGCCAGAGGCCACCTGAGGGCCCGGGAGCCTGGGGACCCCAGGTCTCAGGGCCGAGCATTGCCCGGGCCAGGCAGGGTGGGCAGGATAGTCACCACCAGGAGGGGCTGGGCCGGCACAGGGCTTGGGGGAGGGGTCCCCAACCTCCTGGCCCCTCAGCAGGCCTCACTGTGCTTACAGCCCCACCTTCCCGGGAAGCCAGCCGGCCCCCCGAGGAGCCCAGCACCCCGAGCCCTGCCCTGCCAGCACAGTTCAAGCAGAGGGCACCCATGTACAACAGCGGCCTGAGCCCAGCCACACCCACACCCACGCCTGCGGCGCCTGCCTCACCTCTGACGCCCACCACACCCCCAGCTGTCACCACTGCTGCCCAGGCACCTCCAGTGGCCATGGTGGCCCCACAGACTCAGCCCCCTGCCCAGCAGCAGCCCAAGAAGAATCTGTCCCTCACGGTAGGTGTGCCGGGCAGTGGGGGTGCCAGTGGTGCCTGGCAGGGCCTGCGGGTGGAGGGTAGCAGGACCTGGGCCGCGGCCCAGACACTTACCCCCCCGCCTGCACTGCAGAGAGAGCAGATGTTTGCCGCGCAGGAGATGTTCAAGACGGCCAACAAGGTCACGCGGCCTGAGAAGGCCCTCATCCTGGGCTTCATGGCCGGCTCCCGAGGTGGGTTCGTGTGGCCGGCCCAGGCGTGGGGGGGCCCTGGGCCCTGCAGGGGGGGGGTGGGCTCCTTGGCCCTAGGACCCGCCCAGCAGCCTGCGCCTCCACAGAGAACCCGTGCCAGGAGCAGGGGGACGTGATCCAGATCAAGCTCAGCGAGCACACGGAGGACCTGCCCAAGTCGGACGGCCAGGGCAGCACCACCATGCTGGTGGACACCGTCTTCGAGATGAACTACGCCACAGGCCAGTGGACGCGCTTCAAGAAGTACAAGCCCATGGCCAACGTGTCCTAGGGCCGCCCGCCCTGCCCCCGCGGCACAGGCCCCGAGGGCGAGGCCCTGGCTTCCGAGGGGCAGGCCTCCGCCGTGCTGCCGAGCCCCGCCTCGCTCTCGGGGTGTTTTAGACTGATTTTTTAAGTTTTAAGATGGGTTACTTTTTGTGTGATCTAAGTCACTTTTTTGGATTCAATATTACATTTTTGAATGTTAAAGTTAACCAAAAAAGTTCTAACTTCCTAATTTTAGTGACAGCTCTGCCTGTTATAGACTTTTACTTTTTTATTTTTCTTAAATTCCATTGCCCTCGAGGTTGAGGGGACCAAAGGGGGGCCAGGCGGGCTGAGAACAGGGTGGGGACAGGCTGCTGAGGCCGAGCCACACTCCCGCCCAAGGTTTTCTAGTCTTTTGTACAGTCGTGAGCATTTGAGACCAGCCTCCGGGCACCTGTGTTCATTGTACAAACTACCTGAGTGATTAAAGTTTAGCTTTTCTACAGGAAGCCCAGGGCCATGTTTTGGGGGCAGCGCCCCCTCGGGGTGGGGTGGGGCCGTGGGAGGCTCTTTAGAGGCGGGAAGAGCCAGCAGCTCGTCCCCACTGACCACATCACCTTTAATGGGGACATGCAACAACTTATTTTTAAAATTAAAACACACACAGTCGTTTTAGTCAGCTCTGCACTTGCTGTTCTGATGTCTGTTAGACTCCCTGAGACCAGCCTCTCGCCCTCGTCTGAGGCTGGGGCGTTGGAGGGCGTGCTGGGCGCCTTGCAGTGACAATTCAGACCAGAACTTCATGTTGCCTCCCATATAAAACACGTTTAAGAAAAAAGCCTTTCAAACTTTTTAATACAAAAATATTCATACACAATTTGCCGAATACAAGTTTCCATTTTAAATGCTATTGGCAGTTCCCACGTCTACATTTCAGTATATCCCCCCTAGAGGTGAACTTCAAGTTTCGGAGTCTGTCAGAACCGATAGCACCCATGTTCCTAAGAGAAGCCGGCCTCGTCAGTCAAGTCCAGACGCCGGGAGGCAGAGGCTGAGGTTTAAGTTCTGATAGTTTCACATCCCGACGGCACGTGGGCACCGCCCCCCTAGGACTGAGGACGTGGCACTGACTCCATGGGACAGGCTTGCCTTCCGCTTCTGACAAGATCGTCCTGGAAGACGTGACGGTTCTCCGCCAAGATCAATACTTCAAAGGCGTCAGAGCACAGACCTGAGTGTGGGGCCCGGGAGGGAGGACCAGCGGACAGACCTCTCCAGGTGCTGGGGGCCAGACTGGCCTCCCCAGTGGTCACTGCTGAGGCGGACACGCTCCTGGGCCTTGCGGCTGGTGAGGTGCCCACCTTCCCGGGCCAGTGCCAGCCGGGCAGCCATGACCACGCTGGGCATAGGCTCCTGACACCGAGGAATCCTGAGGTTGAGCCGTTTTCATTTTGTTTCTGCTTCACATTAATGACAAAAGGGCTGGACCGTGTTTGGAAAAAAAAACCACACCTTTGAGGCGAGCGCCCCCGTGGAGACAGCCCGCGGCCCCAGTGGGAAGGTCCTCCAACGGCTGCAGCCCTGACCCCGCAATGGTTTTCTCGCGTTCAAAGGTAGTGTTATCTGCTCACTTGCTTAACAGTTTTGGGGAAAAGGGCAGCCGTATTGAAAATGTTTCTAGTATTTCCTTCAAGATAGTTTAAAACTTGGAAATATCAGTGACTCAATCACAAGATTTTACTGTCAAATGTGGAAATAAGTTAATCTCCCCAAAGTGCACTGCAAACCCAAGTCTGGGCCCTGACGTAGACGCCCAGCAGGAGGCAAGGATGGCGGCCTCTGCCTGCGCCGGCCCTGGCTAAGAGCGCGCCACGCCCACGGCAGCTGCAGCCACTGCCCAGACCCGAACACTGCCAGGACGTAGGAGGGAAATCTGAATCAAGCCAGGGTTTTCTCAAGACAATTGAAAAGTTAAGCATAAAAACGCTCCGCAGCCCCACGTCAGGCAGGTGGTTTCCGTAACGAAACCCCACGTGCAGACGTGTTCGGGGGCAGAGCTCTCGGCTTCCCGTTTGGTTCTGTGTGGTGACTGCCCGGGGTCACGAGAGAAGGCTGGGCGACCAGCCAGGAAAACCACCGCCAGCCTGGACCCCACAGCCCCCAGGAGCCACATGGTCTCAGCCTGACAGACCCACCCCAGCTCTAGTCACAAACCCGGGGGGTGGAGAGGGTCCCCCCGCCACGTGGGACCAGCTGCGAACCCTGCAGAGCACGGACCTTCATCAGAAACGTGCCCGCTGCGTGTTCCTGCCCCGCCACGCCTGGGGCAGCAGGCTCCAGCGCACACGTGTGCCTGGCGGATGCTCCCTCTTCTTGGGGGGTTCTGAGCCCCAGGGTGGAGAGGGACTCCAGGAAGAATCGCATCTTGCACAGACTGCAGTACTTTCCAGAAGTTTCTCCGGGGTCGGCAGGTGGTGCCCTGGCCGAGCACATCTGACCAGCAACAGCTCAGTTCTGCGAACAGACCCACAGAGCGAGTAAGCGGCCACGACCACACGTGGCCAGCTCCAGCCTTGCCTCTCCTCGGGCCCCGGAGCGCGGCCGCACCCGCCAAAGCCACACCTTGGCGGGAGGACTCAGGGTCGCGTCAGTAAATACACGATTCAGTCGGTGTTTAGCAAAAATATATTGAGAATAAAATCAGGAACGTAAAGAAACGCCAAATGAAAAGAATGTACAAAGTCTCCCCAGGTGTTGGTAAGAGCCAGGGCGGTGGAGACGCCAGCGAGCTGGGCTCGGAGGAGGGAGCTGCTCTCTGAAGGCTGACAGGGCAGGGACCCCTCAGTTCAAGTCCGCAGAGAGCAGACGGCCGGGAAGCTAGCGCAGTCCCATTGCCACCCTGGGCCAGCCGTGTGCTCCGGTGAGAAGGGCACTTGGAGGAAAACCTCACGTCAGTACAGTACAGCTCGTCCATCCAAATCATGGGCTCCGAGGACTCCGGGGTCTGAGCCCCAGCAATTCAGAAAAAACTATGCTACAGGTTTTGGGGGAGATAAAAACATTTCATGTCACGTCAATCACAACTTTCACCTAAAACCAGGGGGAGGGAAGTCGACATTCTTGGCGATTCAAGTAGCTGTAATGCTGTCATCCTGGGCGTTTGTCCCAGGCGCTCCGAGCCCCGCGGCTCAGGCGGTCAGTGCAGATGCAGCGGGGCTGCCGATGGCTCAGTGGTGGAGGCGCTCCCTCCCGAGAGGCCTGCGCTCCTGTTGCGGCTTTGCCCCGGCCCCGAGCCCACCAGCTCGGCCCACCCTGGGCAGGCCGGCCTGGCAGCCCTGGCCTGGCCACACCAGGTGCTATTTGCCCTCCGTGACCCTCCGCCAGCACCTCCGCCGCCTCCTGCCCTGGGGCCTTCTGGGCTCGGGGAAGGGGCTCTTCGCCTCGGCCCCCGAGTCGTGCTCGCAGCAGTAGGAGCGCCCGTCTGCGGTGGAGCGCCAGGCGGTCCCGTCTTGGTGCTCCTTGCAGAACGAATTGGGGCACAAGTGGCAAAAGGAGGCTGAAGGTTTGCCACACACGTCACAGTGATGCCAAGGGCACACCCACTTCCCTGTAAGGAGATGGCATGTTACCAGCCGGGCAGCCAGTGGCAAGTCCCACACCCATCAGCTGCTTCCCTCCCTTCCTCCTACCTGAGAGCGCAAAGGCCAGCTGCCCAGGGCCTGCCCCCGCCTGCCTGTGCCTACTGCTGCCCCGCTCTCCCTCTCTTAAGGGCCTGGCGCCAGGCCTCTCTCCTGACACCTGTCTGCCAACTTGCTTTGTCATTTCCCATCTAAACATTTGTTTTTTACAGACGTCTGACTTTCACAGCGCTGGGGGCTCCTGATTTCCTGCCGGGGTCACAGCTCTGCTCCCCCTACTGCGGGCCCTGAGCTACAGGGTGGGACGCACCGAAGGGCCGCTTGCCCAGGCCCAGGCAGGACAGGTGGTAGGCCTTGGTGCAGGACTTGCGGTCACACAGCACCAGCTGCCCGCCGTCGCCACAGCGGAAGCACTCGTCCTCCGACTCCTTCTTCCCTTCGCCTTTGGTCCGGCGCCTCCGGCTTTTCTTCTTGGTCTTTTTGCCCTTTTCCTCTGAAGACAGCACAGTGGAGGTCTAGGGGGAGAGTGAGCACGGTCCATGGAAAGGAGCAGCAGGCTGAAGCTGCTGCTTCAGGGGCTTAGAAAACCCTGGGGCTACCCCAGCATCGAAAGAACGGGGTTCAACACGGCAAGTGGCTCCCCACGCCTGTGCTGACGCCCGTGCGGAGCGAGAAAGTTGCACACGAAGCAGCACAGGCACGAGCCCTTAGCGGCTGAGGCCCAGGTGGCCAGACCTGCTGACGGGCAGAACCAAAGACACGGGGCTCTGCCCGACCCGGTGTTGTGGTGAACATGAGAAAACTAGAGGCCCGGTGCATGAAAGTTGTGCACAGGTAAGGTCCCTAGGCCTGGCTGGCAATCAGGGCCCATCTGTGGGGCGACTGGCGGGGCCCCCACTGGCACCCGCCTTGGTTGGCCTGGGGCCTGTGGGCAATTCCTGTATTGAGTGTCTGCCCCCCTGGTGGTCAGTGTGCATCATAGCAACCAGTAGTTCCACCCACCATTCTGTAGTTCAGTCAATTTGCATATTAGGCTTTTGTTATATAGAATGAGGACAGCAGGGATCCCCGCAGCAGGCGCCTGTGTCGCCCCAGGTCGTGTCCTTCGGCCACCTCAGGGGGGAGATGGGGGGGCTGTGTGTGCAGAGGGTCGTAGCGGATGTGCGAGGGGAGGGAGGGGAGGTCACATGGGGCAGGGGCCCTATTCCAGCCTGACCCGTGTCCTTAGCAGAGGAGGGACACCGACATGGAGGCCATGTGACGAGGGGCTGGGACTGGGAGAGGCCGCCCCCCGCCCAGGACGGCCAGTGGCTCTGCCGTGGAGTCCCAGGCTGGGCGCACGCGGCCTTTACCTTCGGTCTGTCCCCGAGGAACCCGCTGCAGTTGGGGGCGCCACATCGGCACACGGTCTTCTCGTTGCCCAGACAGTCGAGGTTGTAGTTAAACGTCAGCTCTGTCCCTGGTGACGGCAGATGAGCCACATGGAAACACCGTCTGTTTACCATCTGAGCCTCCGGCCACCGGTATCCCCACCCCCACGCTACTCGTCCCCACAGCTGCGAACACCGCCTCGCACCAGACACCACCTCCAAGCGACCAGCGCCCCCCAGGGCCCTCCGACGCGCGGGGCTCAGGCCGTACCTGCAGGAATGTCACACACGGCAAACAGGCCCACACGCGTGTCCCCGTTCACCGTCCACTTGAGGGTCTCGCAGTTGGGCTGGCAGCTGTGGTTCATAAACCTGGAGTAGTTGCCTTTGGGGCCGGCGTCGATGATGCGGTCCTGGAGGCACAACGTAGGGTTCAAGTGCGGCCAAGGGCACCCGCCGGCCGTCTCACAGGCCCCGCACGAGACTCGCGGACAGCCGGTGTTGTACTGGCAACCGTGGTCTCCTGCGTCCACTCGGGCAGGAGCCCCCAATCCAGTCCCGTTGCTGTCGCTCCCGGAGGGCGGGTCAGGACCACGTGGATGGGACCAGCCCTGGGAGCCGAGGCCTGGTGCCCCTTCGCTGGCGGGCACCGAAGGTTGGCACCGACAGCCCCAGACGCACAGAGCGCAGCCAACAACTACGAACGGGCCCAGGACGCAAACGGCTCCCAGCAGGAGGGAGGACGCCCGCACTCTGAGCAGCCGACAGTGCCGTGGTCAGAGCCCAGCTGGCGGCCAGCAGCTGGGGCAGCCCTGCTGCCCCAGGCCTGGGCTCCAGACTCCGTATCCCTGAGGCAGAGCCCAGAGGTGAGGGAAGGGCGGGCAGGCCCGCTGTGTCGGGCCACATCCAGGACCAGGCCCAGCGAGGGACACGGACACGCCAGCCCCTCTGTCACGCTCTGTCCGCACGCACCCCCTTCTCCACGCCCGCACGGCAGACGTGCCTCACACCACGTGCCTCACTCGCGGGGTCGTGATGGACGTCCCTGACACGGTGCAGGGTGCACACCGTCCTGGACACCACGTGCCCCGCAGGCCTGGCCTGTCCCCACCGCCCTCTCGTGTTCAGGTGGTCTCTCTGTGCCTGAGTAAGTGCCCGGCTTCCTCACAGACCGCTGCTCTCAGAGCGTCCTGGTCTTGCGCAGCGACCACCCCTCCCGGCTGCAGCGCGTGCCCGCATCTGCCCAGGTCTCCACCGCCAGCCCGGCCCGGCCCCTGCAGGGGCCTCACTGCTGAGACAGCCACGGGTGCGGTCCTGCAGGCAGCCTGGGGGCAGGGACTGCCGCAGGTCGCGGGACCCTGGTCAGGTGGTAACAAACTCCCGTGGCCTGATTTGGGGGAAATGTGCACTTTTCCAGGCTCCATCTCTCGCGTGCCTGCACCTCCGACCCCTGACCTCTCCCCCGCGCTTGCCCTCACCCAGCTAACAGCTGTCTGACGCCCTTAACCCGCTGGGCGCGTCCCAGCCGGTCCCCAGGATGGCTGCTCGGGGGCCTGGTCCCCGGTCCTGTCTGGGTCTCCCCATTTCTAACATGTGCTCTGTTTCCCTCAGCGTGGTCGCCTTGTCTCGGGCTCTCACCCACCTTAGCCTTCTACTGAGGGTCTGCTCATGTCCCCCGTCCCCCCAAACGCTGGGGCAGGGCTGGTCTGTTTCTATAAGAAACACTGAGGAGTGACTGTTTATTCTGCCCCCGTGTTGGGCAGAGCCTGCACCCCAGCCGCTGCCCGGGCGGCACCAGGCAGGAACCAGTCTGTGTTACAGGAGTGACTGGCACTTATACATCACAAGATTAAGTTTAGGCTCTAAAAACGGGCCAGGCCCCGGCCCCGCTTCCCCCCGACCCAGGAGGAGGGCCTGGCCCCGGAATATGTAAGCTCGCTTGCTGCCTTTGGAGCGGCTGTGGTCACCAAAGAAGTCACCCCAGAAAGGGCCGCGACTGCACCCCAGACACACCTGCCTCCCCTCCCCCTCCCCCCGCACTGACCACCGCAGGCCTTCCTTCCAAACCAACCAAGGCAGCTCCCTATGACGGGGTGTCACCCCCACCCGGGCCTCCCGCTTCTCTCTGACGCCCAGGAAGAGGTCAGCGCCCCTCACACCAGTGAGCACACGAGGCCCCAGACACCTCGCACTGAGGGATAGTGCCGGGGCAGTCGCCCCTACAGCTGCACAGGTTGAACCCGGCCGCCGCCAGGCAACGTGTCCCCCCCTCCCCCCGCCGGCGGCTACCTTGTCGATGGTGAGCATGTAGAAATGTGTGATGTCGTTCTCCTGCGCGTGCTTGATGCGGGCCATGCACTCCTCCTCGTCGATCAGCTCACCCACGTACTCGTTCACGAACTCCCCCTGTGGGCGGAGCACAGGCTGGAGGCCGCCTGGGGTCTGGCAGCCCTGTCCATGGCCCCGCCCACGGCCCCGCCCGCACAGCCCCACCTTCCCAGCACGCCGCCGCTGACGGGAATTTCTGGGCTGCACTTGGACAGGTAACTGTGGTGACAACCCCCCACCTGGACGCCCCCTATGCGTGCCCCGTGCAGCTCGGAGCCGCGGCCCAGGCGGAGGGGAGGGCAGACCTTGCGGATGTCCCGCGTGGCGACCAGGCCCCAGCCCTTGCCGTCGGTGCGCACGATCTTGGTCTCCGGGTACTGGCGCTTGCTGAAGCTCTGGTTCTGGCAGGCCTCCCCGGCGGGGCACACCTGCGGGTGGCACTCGAACATGAGCATCCGGTTCAGACACTCCGAGTCCAGGCCGCAGGGGCTGTCGTCCGTGGGCTTACAGTTGCACTTGGGGATCTCGGAAATGTCGGCCGTGTAGATCTGCACTTTCCCGTACGGCTTATTCACCTGCAGGGACAGGTACACTGCCTCAGCCCGGTGCCCTGACGCGACGGCACCATGACCCGGCACCCCTGCCCCACCCACCAGCCTCCTGCAGGCCGTCAGTTGCGAGGCCCAGGGAGGAGCCTGGCCAGAGGTGCACAGCCCCCACCGGTCACAGGGCCCTCGCCAGGCGCAGGGAGCGGCCGACCTGCCCTGGAGCTTCAGAAGATGCCCGCCCCCGTGTGCTCTGTGGTAGTGCGAGTCCCCGTCTACTGGACAGCTGGCACACAGGCTGCCCGGGACAAGGAGGTGCCCGCACCCCTCACGGCCCACGTCCGTGGGCACTTCCCTCTGCAAGGAGCACCCACGGCGCCACCTGGACGGGCGGGCTCACTGTTCATGGAGAAGAGCCCCACCAGGGAAGCAGCACGAGTGGGAAGGAAAGTGCAGCGAGGAGCGGCCGGGGAGGGAGCCTGCGCCTGGCACAGCGGCCTCCAGCCCCGGGCAGGCCCTCCGACAGGCGCCCCCGGGACTGGCCAGGGAAGACTCGGCACCTGCTGAGGACTACGGGGCTGCCTTCGCCAGGACTCGCTGCGACTGGACGCAGAGAGGAGCCTGGACCCGGGGCCCGATGACCGCTGCCGGGCTCCGGCACCCGGAGCAGATGCAGGGCCACATTCAGCTCCGGCCCTGCTGGCCACGCCCTCGGAGCGGGCACAGTCTTTGGTCCCCGGGATGCTGGCTCAGCCCTGCCCGCCCCTCCGTCCTGGGCACAAGGACCGGCCGAGGCCTCACGTCTGCTCTCCCTGCTGTGACTGTGCGCCCGCGCTCACCTTGATGTGCTTGTAGGGCGGGGGCTTCCGCTCGCTCTCCTGCGTCTCTCTGGCTTCCCGCTGCAGTTTGATTTCACGGAAACGAGCTTCCGCTTCTTGCAGTGCTGAAAGGTCAATGTGGTGGGAGGACAGCGCTTGGTCAGCGAGCCCACCTGCCCTTCAAGCTCACGGTCCCCTCCCACGGCCCCGGACCGGCGACACCCCACACTCCGCGTGGAAGCGGGTGGGCGTCAGTCCCCTGTGCTCGAGGCCACAGCAGGCAAGCTCCCCCCACACCTCCCTCTTAGTAACAGCGGCGAGAAACTCCTGCAAACCAGCACGTGCACTTTCCCGAAGACAGCGCAACGCGTGCGAGTGAAACGAACCGCACCCCCAGGCCACAGGAGTCCAACCCACTCTGGGCCCCCACGGGCCCGGGTCTCCACGGAAACCACTTTCACAAGCAGAAACCAGGGCTGGCCCCGCGCCCCCGGCCTCACGGCCCCGGCAACGTCCGTACCGTTTTTGAAGACTCTGCCGATCCCGCTGACCCCCTGGTAGCGGCTGCCCCGGTCCCCCTCCATGTACGGGAACACTCGAGCCTGATGCGTCCAGTAATAATCTTTAGACCCAAAGAAAAACACAGGGAATTCTCCAATCTCGTGCTTCATTTTCTGAATATTTGGGGGGACATTTTTGGGATGGCAAACTTCTGCCGGCCACCATCTATTATAAATATTAAAAAGAGGGTTCACAGACTCTTCAGAGAGCGCGGCGACCGCTCCGCACTGCAGCTCTGCAAAGCAAACACACGTGAGGGCGGGGGGCTCCGGTCCCAACCTGTAGTTCCCGAGTTTGACCCACACGATGTCCTGGTGGTGCAGCCTCTTCCCCGCCCGGCAGTCGTTGCAGAACCAGCTGCCGTCGGGCATGTCGATGCTGAGGCAGTCGGGGTGGAAGGCCGCCGGGCAGGACTCGCAGCACAGCAGGCTCCCTCCTGCAAAGGGGGGCGGCTCAGCCTGGCGCGGCCGCGGCCCCCGCTCGCACCCCCTCCCGGACAGCGCACCCCCTCCCGGACAGCGCACCCCTCTCCCGGACAGCACGCCCCCTCCCGGACAGCGCACCCCTCTCCCAGACAGCGCACCCCCTCCCGGACAGCACACCCCCCACTCGCACCCCCTCCCGGACAGCACACCCCCCACTCGCACCCCCTCCCGGACAGCACGCCCCCCTCCCGGACAGCGCGCCCCCGCTCGCCCCCCTCCCGGACAGCGCGCCCCCCACTCGCACCCCCTCCTGGACAGCGTGCCCCCCACTCGCACCCCCCTCCCGGACAGCGCGCCCCCCTCTCGCTCCCCCTCCTGGACAGCGCGCCCCCCACTCGCACCCCCCTCCCCGACAGCGCGCCCCCCACTCGCACCCCCTCCTGGACAGCGCGCCCCCCACTCGCACACCCCTCCCGGACAGCACGCCCCCCACTCGCACCCTCTCCCGGACAGCGCGCCCCCCACTCGCACCCCCTCCCGGACAGCACGGCCCCACTCGCACCCCACTCCCGGACAGCACGCCTCCCCCCCCCCCCCCCCACCCCCCGCATCCCCTCCCGGACAGCGCGTAGCACCGGCAGCTGCACCGGGCATGAGCACGGGGGCCCTCACCACAGCCAGCACTCGCGACTGTGAGATGCTCCCGCTAACTCAGGTCACGGTGCCCGCCATGCAGAGCGTGGGAAACCCCGTGGTGCCCTCCCGCGGCCGCCAGCCTCACCTTTGGAGCACACGAAGCACCAGCTCACGTTGACGTGGGCGTGGTGCCGCTTGCCCTTCCGGGCGGTGAAGTGGGCCGTGCAGACGATGCTGTGGGACGAGACAACCAGGCAGCCGGCCGCCAGGCAGGCGTCCCCGCCATGGTAGGCGACGGGGCAGCGCAG